AAATGAGAACTTCAGTAGACTGTGATAAGTTGTGTGTATATAACATAATACCTTGAGCAATGACTATAAAACTGTATAAGAGATACTTTTAAAAAGCACTGTAAATAAATCAAAATGGAATTCTAAAAAAATGTCGAAGTAAACCACAGCAAGGCATACAAAAGAATACAGAGAAATGAAAAGCTGATAGAACAAACAGAAAACAAAAAATAAAGTGGCAGACTTATGCCTCAACACATCAATAATTGTATTACATGTAAACAGTATAAATACAATTAAAAGAGATTAGCTTAATGTATTTAAAAACATGACCTAACTACATACTATCTTCTAGAAAAATCACTTCAAATATTATAATGTAAGCAAGTTGAACGTAGAAGGATGGAAAAAGATATACCATGCAAACATTAATCAAAAGAAAGCAAGCATGGTTTTATTAACATCAGATAAAGTAGACTTCAGAGCAAATACAATTATCAGATTCAGAGAGAGGGAGATTATATAATGATAAAAGTGTCAATCCTTCCAAAAGACAGCAATACTAACTGTGTCTGCCCCAAACAACAGAGCTGAAAAATACAGGAGGTAAAGATTGGTACAACTAAAAGGAGAAATAGAAAAATCCACAATTACAGTTGGAGATTTCATTGCTCCTCTTTCAAAATTGATAGAAAAAAAAATAGGCAGAAAATCAGGAAAGGTATAGAAGAACTCAATACCACCATTAAGATTTAGTGGATATTTATAGAACATTATACCAGTATTAAGAAAAAGAAATGCCTCCCCAAAGATATATTCGCTTTCTTTCTTTTTGGGGGGCGGTGGGGACAGTCTCACTCTGTCACCAGGGCTGGGTGCAGTGGCTCCACTGCACTCGGCTTCTGGTTCAAGCGATTCTCCTGTCTCAGCCTCTCCAGTAGCTGGAATTACAGGTGCCCGCCACTACACCCAGCTAATTTTTTGTATTTTTAGTAGAGACTGGGGATATATTCACTTTCCAATCATGGAACCTATAAATACCACCTTATATGGCAAAATATGTGATAAAGTTAAGGATCTGGAGAGAAGTAGCTTACCCTTAACTATTGGAGAGGGCCCTAAATGCAATCACATGTCGTTCAGGTAGACAAGAACAGACACACAGAGGAGAAGGGGATGGGAAGACAAAGACAGAGATTGGAACGATGCAACCACAAGTCAAGGAGTGCCCCCAGCCACCAGAAGCTGGAAAAGGCCAGGAATGGGTCCTTCCCTAGAGCTTCCAGAGGGAGTGTAGTCCTCCCAACGCCTTGATTTCAGATTTCTGGCCTCCAGAACTGTGAGAAAATACATGTTGATTATTTTAAGCCACCCAATTTGTGGTGATTTGTTGTAACAGCCACAGGAAACTAATACACAGCCCATCAACAGTAAAATACACATTCTGTTTAGGTATCCATGGAACTTCTATTGAAACAGACCATGTCCTGGGCCATGATATGAACCTCAACACATTTCAAAGAATTGAAATCATAAATAATGTGTTCTTTAACTAAAATCGAATGAAACTCGAAATCAATAGAAAGCCTCAGGACAGAAAGATAACAGGAAAATCTCTAAACTCTTGGAAACCAAACAGCATGTTTCTAAGTAATCAGGGATCGAAGAGAAAGTGTCAGGGAAATAAACAAACAAGCAGGCCAAAAATACAAGAAAAAAATGAAATACAACATACCAAAACTTATGGGACCTGTCTAAAATAGTGCTGAGGGGAAACTTTATAGCACTAAACTGAATGCATTAAAAAAGAGGAAAACATTCTCAGATAGTTATTTTAAACTTTAAGCTTTCAACTCAAGAACCTAGAAAAAAAGAAGCAAAATAAATCCAAAGCAAACAGAGTGAAGAGGGTAATGATAAGAGCCGAAATCAGAGAAATTGAAAACAAAAACAACAAAGAAAATCAATGAAACAAAAACCTCATTTTTTAAAAAAAGGAATAAAATTGGCAAACCTCTGGCAAGACAGAAAAACAAAGTGAAGCCACAAATTACCACTATCAGGATTGAAACAGGGGATATCACTACGGACCCTGAAGACATCAGAAAAGAAATAAGAACACACTATCAGTGATTCTACACACAAATATTTTTTGATAACTTAGACAAAATTAAATTGAACGCATGGAGATAAAGAGTGGAATGATGTTTACCAGAGGCTGGGTGGGGGTAGCAGGGACAGGGGATTAAAGTGGGGATGGTTAATGCATACAAAAATACAGTTAGAGAGAATGAGTAATATCTAGTATACGGTAGCACCACATGGTGACAATATGGCGTAATATTTTAAAATATATCATAATTTATTGCATATTTAAAAATAAACAAGAGTAAAATTGAAATGTTTCCTAACACAGAAAAATGATAAATTCTTGAGGTGATGGATACTTACACTACCCTGATTTGTTTATCCTGATAACATTGTATGCCTATATCAAAACATCATATATACCCTATAAATATATACAACTATTATGTACTCATAATAATTAAAAACAAAACATTTTTAAATGAACATCTCAAAATACAAAACTACCACTTCATTATAAGATAGATAATTTGAATAGTCTTAAAACTATTAAGGAAATTTAGTCAGTAGTTTTAAGGCTATCAGAAAAGAAGTCTCCAGGTCCAAACAATTTCACTGGAAAATTCTAACAAACATTTAAAGAAGAATTAACACCAATTCTACACAATCTGTTCTAGAATTAGAAGAGGAATTCTAACTCATGAAACTAGTGTTATCCTGACACCAAGCCCTAACCATGAGGGTATAATTTTAAAAGAAAAAACTACAGAGCAATATTTCTTATGAATATGGATGCAAGAATCCTTAACAAATTTTAGCAAATAAAAACCCACGATATATTAATTATACCATGACCAAGCTGGATTTATTTCAAGAACAGTGGTTGGTTCAGTCTTTAAAAAAAATTGATGAATACAATCCACCATATTAACAAGCTAAAGAAAAAAATCACATGATCATATCAATCAATGCAGAAAAAGCATTTGACAAAATTCAACACCCGTTCATTACAAAGATGCTCAGTAATGGAAGGAAATTTCCATCAGATACACTAATGGAAGGAAACTTCCTTAATCTGATCATGAGTATCTACAAAAAAAAAAAAGAAAAAGAAAACACCTACCAGTAACATATTTAATGATGAAAAACTGAATGCTTTCCCCCTAAGAATGAAAACAAGGCAAGGATATATGACCTAATAGTTCTGGAAAGTCTGGCTAGCCATCACAGTATGTAATGAAAAGGAGATTAAAACATGCAGACTGGAAAAAAAGAAAAAAAAATACTGCCCCTATTTGCAGATGATAATCATTATCTGCAGAGAAAATCCCAAGGAATCTGCAGAAGAAATCCTAGAACGAATAAATGAGTTCTGCAAGGCCACAGGATATAAGAAACACGAAATCACAAAGAGCTATCACTTCACACCCACTAATTTTAGTGGATAAAGACAGACAATACCAAGTGTTACTGAGGATGTGGAAACCCTAAGATTGTTGACTGGAATATAAACTGTTATAGCCAATCTGGAATATAATTTGATCATTTCTTAAAATATTAAGCTCACCACAGATGCAGCAATTCTATTCCTAGGAATCTACTCAGGAGAAACTTCCATTAATGTTTTCAGAGCAGTATTATGCATAAAAGCTAAAAACTGGAAACAACACAAGAGTTCATCAAGTGGTGAATGGGAACAACATATGGCAGGTCCATATGATGGAATATCATTCATCAAGGAACAGGAATGAAGCACTGATACATGCTATAACATAGATGGGCTGGGCACGGTGGCTCATGCCTGTAATCCCAGCACTTTGGGAGGCTGAGGTGGGCTGATCGCTTGAAGTCAGGAGTTCGAGACCAGCCTAATCAACATGGCGAAACCCTGCCTCTACTAAAAATACAAAAATTAGTCAGGCGTGGTGGTGCATGCCTGTAATCCCAGCTACTTGGAAGGCTGAGGCAAGAGAATCACTTGAACCCAGAGGCAGAGGTTGCAGTAAGCTGCCATTGTGCCACTGTACTCCAGCCTGGGTGACAGAGCAAGAGTCTGTCTCAAACAATAGTAATAATATTATTAAATAGATGAACCTACAAGACATTATTCTGAAAGACATCAAACAGAAAAAAGAAACACATAGTGTATGGTTCTATTTAAATGACTTGACATAAAGTAGACTAATGATGACCTGGGCCTGTGGAATGGTAATGCAAGTGACTACAAAGGATGCAAGAACTCATTCTGTGGTGATGGAAGCTCAAACACTGGATTGTGACAGCGGTCTAACAACTCTTGAAATTTACTAACAACCTTTGAATTATATACTTCAAGTGGATTAACTTTATGTAAATTATACTTCAATGTAAACTATAATGCAAATTATACTTCAATGAAACCATTTTTTAAAAAGCAATTTGACTTATTTAAAGTTAAAACATCACAGAAATGTGTAGCATAGAAAATGACAGTGTGTATCCCTCTCAATACCATTCCAATCATTGTTAATAATTTGATCACTGTTAACAGTTTGGTATATGTTCCTTCAGACACTTTTCCACGCATGCTATAGATAGTAATATATATTAGTATTAGTTTATATGTTAGTGTATATATATTACTGTTACATGCATATACACACACACACAATGTCACACACTATCCATAAAGCATAGTAACTGACTTTGCTAGCTTGGCAAAATATCTTGAACAAGAAGGATGTGTTTTTAACCAGGTAAATAATATGATCATCATGGTGCTTTAGAGATTAATCGAGGATGGGAAGCCTGAAGGTGAGGACCCATTAGGAGACTGCTGCAACAGTGACAGACAGGGCCTGGGGAGGCCTGCGCCTTGTGGGAACAGGCTGTGGGGCCCACCCTTGGCCTCGAAGTCAGCTTTGGGTGCAGGGGCGGTGGCACATCCTACTCACACTCTGAGAGAGATCCTGGGTGTTCCCCGCATTGCTGAAGTGATCCACCTCCAGAGCCACAACCTTCCCAGTCTTCATGAAGCCAACCTGATAAAACGAGAAAGAAGAGTGATTTATCAGAAGTCCCATTTCCACCACCTCTCTTTCTGTCTCTGATCCTCCCTCCCACTTATGCCACCTGGAGGAAATGAACAGAACAGCACATCAACCCATGAGAAAAAGGTGACCTGAAGTCACCAGAAGGTAGCAAGGGAAGAAAAGAGGAACTGCCCTCTCCCCAGTGGCACACAGTTGGCTCCCCACCCCTGGACACCCTTGTCCCCACACCCCTTCTTCCTGCTACCGGCTCCTGACTTCTAGTAAGGAGGTTGGAAAGAGAAAGTAGGTCATGATAGGGCGGGGAGGGGAGCACAGGGAAGAGAAACTAGGAAAGATACTGGACTCTGCCCGCACAGCTTTTGGTCAGCAGACAAAAAAGTTGCATTTCACAGAAGCACGCACCTCCTTGACCTATGTACTCTGTTAGAACACCCTCTATAGGCCATTTTACAGGCACAGAAACTGGGACTCGAAAAGATCAAGGAACCCTCTTCAGGCCCACAAGAATTTTGGGCTAAGAGAAATATAATTCCTTGCTGGGAGTTAAACCATGAAACAAACTCAGAATAGGTCAAAGGCCATATTTAAGGCCAGTTCATGAAGAGAGGGCTCCCAGGTTTCTAGAGCTGGGCTAAGCCTGGTAAAGCTATGCTGACGTATACAGGGAAAGGGTGTATTGATCATTACAGAAACCCAGAAAAGGGACTGTCCCAGAGAGAAGTGTGGGCTGTGCCCAACCGTGGTCTGAGAAAACAAGTACCCGTCCTAACATCTTGGGCCTGTCTAGGCCCCTGGGAAGTTTTACTTCTCACAATATATTACTAAGCTATCATTCTAGAATATTTTTACATCACACTACCCAGTGCGATGGGTTTATCCTGAGTATGCTGGTGGTGAATCATGTTTCTGAGCCTGACCAGACTCAGAACACAGCAAATTCACAGAAGTCATGAATGCCAGCCTTGAGAGATGGGGTGGCAGCCTCCCTCAGCACTGCCTTTCTGTGTTGCTGTTGGCCTATTTGAATTTTCCTTCTTGCTGTTTCTTATTTGAACTTCTACGGATAGGCAAAAAGTCAGAGTGCAGCCCAGGACGCCTGAACATTCAGACCCAGGTTTCCTTACAAAATGGTACTTCCCATCCCAGAACAGCCCCAACATCTAGAACCTTGTATCTGGCCAGGAAGGGATGTCTGCCACCAGTTATCAGCATGTCCTCATCACGGTCCAGCATGCAGCGCACAGGGCGGCCGGTCCTGGAGGTACAAAGAGGGTTAGAAGCCTGTGAGCCTTCAACAGCAGCTCAGCCCTCTGAGTCTCAGCATGAAAACAGCTGGGAAGCCACCTTTCCCACTTGCACACTGAGCAGACCTGTACTGGGCTGCTTTGCCATCTAGACACTGTGCTAGACAAGGTGAAAAATATAAGGACGCGAGGTATGTGCTGGCCTTTGGAGAGCTCACAGCCAAGTAGGGGAGATCAGATGTGGACACCTGTGCCAGATCACAAAAGAACAGGTAATGTTACCCTCCCCCTATGCCCACGGGTTCTAAAAACAGAGGGCTGTGAGAATTCAAAGCAGGGGGAAACTAATTCTAACAGGGGGAAATCCAGAAGGACTTCCTGGCAGAGGCAGCCTTAATTCTTCTTCCCAGAGCCAGATGGGAGAAACAGGCTTTGCAACTCACTTATATGCAGCCAGGGCCACCGCTGTGGACACCACGGTGCTTCGGGTTTCTTTCCCTCCAAAGCCTCCTCCCATTCTCTTCACTCGAACCACAATCCGGTTTGCTGGAACTCCCAACATTTTTGCAACAAAGCTCTATGGGTGAACGACAGAACACTCACACCGAATGCATTATTCGAACTTATTTCAGGCCTGGTGGACCTAATTGCTGCTGTGATTTCTGAAACTCCTTGATTCAAAATCCCCATGCAGCCTGCGATTAGTGATGCTGAGGCTGCCAGACTGAAATCGGGCACTGGTTTTTAGCCAGAGGCCAAGTAGTTGGTCAGGGAATACTTTTAGAAACTTGTTCCATCTGACCAGGTGACCAGGGACTGGTAGGTCATGAGAGCAGGACCAGCTGCCAAAAACACTGGCCACCGCCGTCACAGGCAGTAGAGAAACGAGGAGTAATTGAGCTGCTGTAGATAATTTAGGGGTCCCTGTGGCTATGACTTAATCCAACACCTTCATTTTACATGTGAGGAAACTGAGGCAGGACATAACTTGACCAAGGCCATAGGTACTGAAATGATAACAGCCAACCTGTACTAGACTTCAGACTAAATATTAAAACTTGTCTAATAATTACAGCAACCCACCCAGGCCCCATTTTATAGATGAGAAAACTGAGGCTGAGAAAGGTTATGGAACAAGGTCAGTGACGCCAGCTTGTTGGTGAGAGTCTGGCTCCAGGACTGACACTCAAGAACCCTCTGGACCAGCCCACTTCTCCCTCTTCCCATTTCCCACATGGTCCTCCTGGTCTGCTAGGAGCTCCCCGCTATCCTGCGGGCCCCTTGAGCTGCCCCAAAAGGCAACTACCTGGGTCTTCATGGTGTTCTGTGTAGATACAAAGAGCTCCATCTCCCCTGCCTCGCCTTTTGGAACAGCAATGGTGCAATGAGTCTCCAGGTAGAAATGTTCTTGGCCGCCAATGTATAACTCCCCTGGGAAAACAGTGAGATCTGTCACAGTGAGCCTGATGCTACAGAAGGGGCCAGTTTGCCTAAGGAGAGAGTATACTTTGCCAAATGGCCTAGGCAGGAAGCAACTGGTCACAGGGTTACCTGGGGGGTAACCTCAAGGTTTCCCACTTGGGGTAGAAAAGGATCCCAAAGTCTTAGCTATCTGGGAGCTGAGTGCTCCACCCTCATCCCCACCCCCACAACAAAGAAACCAGAATGACACTGAAATGCATCCAGTGCAAAGTTCTCTTCTCACTGCAGCTTGTGGAAACCAAGGATTTCGGAAACTGTCACTGTAAAATTTTGAAAAAGTAAAGCAGGGATTAATAGATGTGATTGAAATGCTGAAAACAAGAGCATCTTCTGGAACCTAAGCTACCAGGCCTAGTAGAGATCTGGCTTCCTAGTAACTTCACAAAGCACAACAGCCAATGTAAAAAACATCTGAAAGGGGTAGTCAGGTGCATTGTCTGGGGTGAGAACAATGGATTTGATTTCACAGTGTCAGCGTCAGAGGTGGAGGGAGAGGAGGGTAGAAGGAAGGGGAGGGAGGATGCTAGTTAAAGATGGGTAAGGACTGCCTTCAGGTGGGGGGAGAAGGAGAGTCTATGTGGTTAGAGGCCTGGCAGACCTAAGGCCATCAGGCATCTATGGCCGTTATCTTCCCTAGATGGCCTTCCAGATAAGAATACTCTAGAATCTCTTTAGAATCATTAGGTCCAGCCTAGAGACAGGGGAGCAGAGATTAAGATGACTGAGGCTCTTCCCCAGCCAACTGTCTACTATTTTACTACAAACATAAGAGGGAATCTTCTGTTAGGAAATGCCTGGGAATCACTTCCCTGCTTCAGGGTTCAATGCATATCCCTTGAACTGTATTTGCAAACAACGGCCGCCCCATTCCCACTGCTCTATGGAGCAGCTCTACCTGACACAACATTATCCGCTTCGGAAAACCCCTTCTTGAGGTCTCCTTTCTCAATCTTCAGCTCAGATCCATAAAAGGAGTTGTTCTTTATAGCATCCTGAGGATCACAAAGAAGTTTCAGACATGCAGCTTTTAGGAGGTTGGGGAAGATGGGTTCTGGTTAGGGAAAGAGAAGCTCTCTGAATTGTTAACTCTCTCTTCTCATAAATAAATCTCTATATGCTTCACATACAGACTTGAAGTAAGCTCAGCTATAGCCCAGGGAATCATATTCCTCCATTCCCTCAGCTGCAGATGGATAATCCTGGACCTTGAAGAAAAGCAAAGAATACCACAAGGACCAGATGGAGGTGAAATTGTGAAAAGAAGGAGCTCAGTTTGGCTGTTGTTAGTGAACTGAGCCTAAGACCAAAAAGGGGAAGGTTTCTTGGAGCCTAAAATCCCAGAGTTGAAAGGAATTTTAAAACCCATCTAGTCAAATCCCTAGCTGCTGCTCAAATCCCTCCTCCGGGATCCTAATAAATGCACATCCAGGGACAGGGAGCTCACTCCTCTACACAGGCAGCCCATTCTCAGTTACCTCAATTGTGATAATTGCTGGTAGTTCTTCATAGGTGATTTTCACCCCTTGGGCAGCTCTCTGTGCATGTTCCGGGGTGTCAGCCACCACAGCACCAATGATATGCCCAACACAAGTAACCTAGGAGCAGAGACAGACTGTTAAAGAATGCAACCAGGCTATAGTGAAACGAATTATTTTTGGATTGTTCAAAAAGCCAAAAGAAGTTCCTGCCTTCATAATGAAAGCACATTTTAGGAATGCCCTGGGGCCTCTTAATTCCTTATCTTACTGATATAGAGTCACTAGGATCAAGATGGTAAACAGATTTCATCTCAAGGGCCAATTCTGATTATTTAGTACTGGCAGACTATTGAGTTTGCCATGAGCAGAAAGGGGGATATTGCAGCACAAGTGCATTTGTCAGTTAGGACTTACTCCAACACCACTGGTCTTCTTACGGAGACTCAGAAGACAAGGCCACGATGGGCTAGTTATTATTAATAGATTATGACCAAATCTCAGGCCCTGACCCCCAGTTTTACTTTCTTTTCACCACACCACTGTCTTTTACGTTCTATTTCCCAGATTTATTCCAAAAGCTTCTCAAAGGCTGTAAAGGCTGTAAGCATCAGTATAAGACATGTAAGACATATATTTATAGAGAAGATATACTTCATCTAATACCCAAAAGCAGTTGCTCTCAAATGCTGGTTCTTAGACTTGATAATCCATAAAAAGATTTAAAAATTTGTATGATAAGGATTGCTGTTTTCTTTTCTTTAATAATTCAGTTTCATAAAAGCTTAATGGATCTCCTTCAGAGATAATTTTCATCCAACATCCCCCAAAAAGTAAACAACAAAAATTTTTGTCGAGCACATCACTTTAGAAGATGAGGTTTCTGACAACAGGAATGAACAGTTAGGATGCATGTCTCTGACAATTCTAATGGGGGATGTCCAGAAAGCCTTCCTGGCAGAGGCAGCCTTATTCTTCTTCCCAGAGCCAGATAGAAGAAACATTTCCCAAAGAAGTTATTAACTTATTTGATTAGCGCAATTGGCTAAATCTGGTTGACTCTCCCTAGCCATAATGCTAGCATTGCTCTGAGAAACTCTTAAAATCCACAAAGAAATTTGTTCTTCTATGAAATGCTCTCCTCATGGAGTCCTTGTTCTCATATTTTTAGTTTTTTGTTCTCTCCTTCACTTTTACATCAATAATAAGATGAATTCGCTTTTCAGAAATACTCATGTCTAATTTGCAACATTTGATGTCTATTGGAATTAAAAAATGGCTGTCGAGAACTATCTTATGAAAAAAAATATAAGGACTTATGTAGCAGCTGTCTTAAACATTTGAAAATTTTTGTTTGTTGTTGCAGAGTTTCATGTAGTCAAAATCAATAGATAAACTTTCGTATTTACCAATTACCAATACACATAGTGGTGGTATTGAGATTTCCAGTTAGTTTGTTAAATGTATTCTTATTTTATTTTAAATAAGGAGCTTACTGTTGTTTCTTAAGAACCCAATTGCCAGTTCAAATGCAATCACCAGCCTTGTTTTACTGTCACCTTGGCATAGAGACATCCTACTATGTACAAACAGCAGCCATCAATTAAATAAGCTAGTAACATATTCTATCCCTCTGCGGATTGTGGCCATCCAGTTGATGGCCACAATCCATGCAAATGTACAACCTTTCCAGATCAGGGGTTTAGAGCAATGTACACAAATTAAAACTTCAATACTTATTCCATCTACTTCATATAAAAAAAATCCAAGACCTACCTTATCCTTTGCAAAGACTGTCTCATCATTGCAAATTCCAGTTATGTTACTCCCAGGAATATCACCAGCAGAAATGAAACAAACAAACCCTGGCACCTTCTTAGCTTCTGATGTTTCTATGGACCTGCAAGAATGAGCAGTGTGAGGGGGCCAGGCCAGCAAGCTGGAGCAGGGGACCCATCACCTGGTTGGACAACTCTGTTCTTATTTTGATGGGCTTGGCTTCATCCTAATTCCTCACTTCTCTGCTTCTTTTCTATTAGATTCTAATTCAATTATATTCTATTCTGCAAATGTCAATTAAATGCTCACCATGTTCAGGCCACTGTCCTGAATGCTGCTGGAGATTCAAAGTGAATAAGCCAGCCAGGCTTACTTTGGCTCACACATGTAATCCCAATGCCTTGGCAGGTTGAAGTAGGAGGATCACTTGAGCTCAGGAGTTTGGGACCAGCCTGGGCAACATAACAAGATCCTATCTCCATTTAAAAATAAATAAAGTGAATAAGGCAGGCCAGGCCTCTTTGGACCTTACATGATGCCCTGTCTGGTCTCCAAGTACAAGTGAGCCAAATCAAAGTGAGCAGCACTTACTCTGGAGAGCTCTGGCTAATGAACATATCACACTAACTCCCTTCCAAAATCAGCACAGGGGCCCTGCTGTGCCTCGGCCCTGAAATGATCCAACGGCCCTGAACAGCTTCATACAGCTGGATTTCTCTCCCCACATTCATGGTGCTATCCCAGCATGACAGGGCATCCTACCATAATTAGGCAACATGAACCTCTAAGGGAGAATCACTGACTATAGCATCAAGGATAACAGTACCAACTATGTACTGATCACACTGGCACATGCCCCATGGGGAAATAGGGTGACGCATTTCATGCAAAGTTGTGGAAACTGAAGTACTAATCGCCTTCCAAATGCTTAATCTTCCTGAGAAATCCTGAAAGCACTTCTCCTAATTCCCATTTTATGTTTGTGGAAACTCAAACTCGAGGAACTCAGGTACTTTGTCCAAAGTCAGTAAGCCAGACAGCAGCGTGACTGGGATTACTAGAACTGAGGTTGTTAGGAGGGTTAAGCTTTGCCCTGCCACACTCACTTCCAAGTGTATGCAGCCCGGGAAGGCCCCGATTGTTGCAGTTATGACAATGTCAACCCCCTCATCCTCTTCCATCCATTCACATTGCTTGGATGGAGGTGGTTTGAGTGTAGACAATGTGGGTCATGGTATTGTCAACATGGGCTCAAGACAAGGAAGAAAAGGGAAAGAATGTGTCTTATAGCTGGCAATCACAGGAACTTAAACACTTTTTTTTTTCGGGGACCTGGACAGGTTTATTCATCTGTTAGATTTCACCTGTGCCTGGTTCACCCTTCCTGGAGGGAGCCCATCTCCAGGCTAGGAGCAGCAGCAGAAACAAGACCAATGACAAGGGAATCTGATCCCTAGTCCACTCCGTGGACCCAAGGAAGGGCTTTTCCTAGCTGCTCTGCTCAGCAGGCTATGTGTCTAACGCCCAACAGGAAACAAAGTTCACGTTCTCTGGCTTGAACATCCAGAGGCAGCACAACACAGGTGTTCAGGTTGCTCAGCTTCAAACTCCAACTCTGCCACTTACCAACTGTGTGCCTGGGGCAAGTTACATACCCTGCTTGTGCCTTAGCTTCCTCATCTGGAACAGAGAGGTGATAATAGGACCTGCCTATAAGGTTGTTGTGAGGAGTAAACAAACTAATATATTTAAAGTGCTTTAAACGAGGCTGTGGCACTTTTGCTTTTTTTTCCTTTCTTTTTTTTGAGATGGAATCTTGCGCTGTCACCCAGGATGAGGTGCAGTGGCATCATCTCGGCTCACTGCAACCTCTGCCTCCTGGGTTCAAGCAATTCTCCTGCCTCAGTCACCTAAGTAGCTGGGATTACAGGCGTGCGCCACCATGCCAGGCTAATTTTTTAATTTTTTGTAGAGACAGGGTTCCGCTGTGTTGTCCAGGCTGGTCTCAAACTCCTGACCTCAGGTGACCTGCCTGCCTTGGCCTCTCAAAGTGCTGGGATTACAGGCATGAACCACCACACCTAGCCACTTTTTCTTTCTAATACCTATTTATAAGAGCAATATTTGGCCATCTCAGCTGAGTTCATTTTATAACTGAGTCAAAATCTTAACATATATCATTGCTTAGGTCAAAATAAAACCTTCAGTTATTATGAGCACAAAAAAAAAAACTAGGTTGTAGCAAATATTAAGTGCTATATATGAGTATTAGGTGTTTTATTATTATTATTATTATAGAAGTGATAATTTTTGCTATCTGAGGTCTCAGAGTTCAGCAAACATCTGCAAGTGACTATTCTCTGCTAGGTGCTTTATAGACAATACTGCTAATCTTTGAAGAAACAGCTCTTTACAGACAAGGAAACTGAGAGTTTAAATACATGGGCCAAGGTCTCAGTTGACAGGCACCAGAGTTGGAATGCAATCCCAGGACTGCTACACTCCAAGGCCATGTTCTTCGCATAAGTGCTAACTCAAGTTCTAACGAAATTCTGCATTTTAACCAAGCCTAGTATCCAAAATGCAGGTCTAACCGGGTCCTGTCCAAAGCCTATCCGCAGCTTCTCAGTGTTTTTTGGGACAAGTGTCATCTCTCTGTTTAGGGCTCCAAGGCTTTCCTGATCTGGCCCCTGCTGACCCCTCCCAGGAACAGAACTCCTCCAGGTGCCACCAGACCCCGAACCCTTCCTGCTCCTCTCCAGACTGTGGTTTTGAGGTGAGTTCCCATCTTCCCCTCTCTCTAGCTTAGGAGGTCCTGGAGGAACCTCATTATCTGTACATCTCCATGACCTGGCAGGGTGCGAGAAATCTTGTGGGTACTCCCAGTGGCCCCTCACAAAGTTCCACCAGCTCCTCCTGGCGGTGACACTCACTTGATCTTGGCGTGGGCCCGGGTGCTGGTGACTAGCCGGAGAGAGAGCTCATTCTCGTAGTGAGGGATGTCGTCACAGTACACAGCCTCACCAGAGGCCTGCATGTTTGCTGCCAGGTGGGGCAGGGGCCGGCCCACCATGTCCTCCTCAGACTGACCTTTGGGCACATCCTGGAATGACAGGGTCATGAGTCAGCCTGAGCTGCCGAGGACACTGCCCCTCTACAGGCCCAGGGGACACTGGAGAGCTTCAGGCTACATGGCAAAGCACACCAAGGGGTAGGAATAAAGGATGCAGAGGTGCATGGGGCAAAGGGAACAGGAAGGTGCATACGTAATGGCAAGGGTGGTCCTAGTGTTGTTATATAAAAGAACAACAAGAAAATGAGGGACCTAAATGTCCATTAATTGGGGATTGGCTAAATAAGCTGTGCAGCCCTCATACAACACAACAGTATGCAACCATTAAAACATACTTTTGAAGAATTTTAATTAGAAGGATTGTTCATGCAAGCATAAAAACAGGACATGTGTTTGTGTTTGACAATAATTTAAATTCTGTAGGAAAGATAATATATGTGACAAATATAGCACACACATGTCCACATATACATAGGAAATAATGAAAAGAATTTAACAAAAATGTAATAATAATTTGCTCTTGGAGGTGGAATTTTTGGTGAATTTTATTTTCTTTATATTTTTCTGTATTTTCTAAAATGTTTTACATTATTGATTTGATAATAAAGTTCTGTTTTTGTTTTGCAAAGTAATTATAACAGTGGGTCATATTTATTGAGTGTTTCACCACATACCAGGGACTATCTAAGCAATTTACTTTTATTAACACATTTCATCCTCAAAACCATCTTATGAAACATGCAGGTGAATATAATTAACTTGCTTAAGAGGCACACAAGAGGATAAATAACTTGTTCAAAGTTGCACAACTATGAAATGGCAGAGTTTAGATATAAATTCAGGCAGTCAGGCCCCAGAGCTCATGCTTGGGACAACTACCCTCCAGTGTACAAGGGGCAGTAAATTGTGGCCCGGGTCCACTGCCTGTTTTTGTAAATAAAGTTTTATTGGAAGACAACACACTCATTCATTCATGTATTGTTGGTGGCTGCTTTTATGCTACAATGACAGACTTGAGAAGTTGCGATAGAAACCATCTGGCCCACAAAACCTAACATGTTTTCAGGAAAAGTTTGCTGACCCTTTACCCAGCACCTCTCAAAAAGCTGGGGTAGATAGATGGTTTGTTTGTTTGTTTGTTTGTTTGTTTGTTTGTTTGTTTTAACATGCTCAATAATACTTCAGGCTTTGCACATTATTCTTCAAGTAAAAAAAAAAAAAAAAGTCTGTAAGGAACAGGTGCAGCTGGGAGTCTAATCCCAAGAGAGAAATTTAGGTAAACAGGAGAAAAATGTGACATTAACATCTGTATGATTCTCATTTTCTTCACTGGATATTTAAGCACAAGAGTAAAGAGCTTTATGCACCTACATACAATTCAAGTTCGTCACTAGCCGATAGTCACCCACTAGCCAACTGATGTGGCCTGCGCAGTCCCCTGATATTAGCCATACACTGATTGTACTCACTTGGAAGAGCTGGACGTTGGCTGGGGGGTCTTTCTGAAAGAGTAAAGTTGCACTGGTGAAGGTGGGGTCCAGTTTACCACACTTCTGTGGAAACAAGATAACAGAGGTGACCAGGATTATATTTCAATCATTGATCCCTTCCGTGGTTATCCCCAAATGACCACTGACAGTTGACATCAGTGACAACTGATCCTCTCGTCTCGTCTCTTCATTTCAAGCCCCTTTGAGTGCTGGATGGATCTCTCAGCATCCAAACATGGGCTCTGAGAGTTCAGCATTTACGGGCAGCCTCAGCTTCACTGCTGGCCCCACACTGTACCCTGTAGACTGAATGGTCTGTACCTCCTCCAACACTCCAAACTCTTTCCCTCCGTCTTACATTTATGACTGCTGCTGTCTCTGTTGGGAATATCATTCTCCTCCAGCCTTCCTGGAAAATTCTTCCTTACCCTCCTCAATTCCATGGGAAGCATTTAATGATATGGAAAATGTTCACAATATAATCCCAATGGAAGCAAAGGAGGATTTAAAGCTTTATATGCAGTGTGGTCCCAAGTCTTTTGAAATATATCCACATTAAAAGATAGGAAGATGGCAGGTATTGATAGACAGATGGAAGGACAAATAGAGAGAAAGAGATGGGGCAGACAAACAGCCTGACAGATGAACAGATAAATGCAGGAAAAAGATCAGAGGAATTAACCAAAATACTTAGCAGTGGTTTTCTCTGGGATTTGAGAGTAAGAGTAATTTTAGGTTTCATTGATCCAATCCCATATATATATATATATATATATATATATATATATATATATATTTTATTTTATTTTATTTTTTTTTGAGACGGAGTTTCGCTCTTGTTGCCCAGGCTGGAGTGCAATGGCGCGATCTCGGCTCACCGCAACCTCCGCCTCCTGGGTTCAGGCAATTCTCCTGCCTCAGCCTCCTGAGTAGCTGGGATTACAGGCACGCGCCACCATGCCCAGCTCATTTTTTGTGGTTTTAGGAGACGGGGTTTCACCACGTTGACCAGGAGGGTCTCGATCTCTTGACCTCGTGATCCACCCGCCTCGGCCTCCCAAAGTGCTGGGATTACAGGCGTGAGCCACTGCGCCCGGCCCCCAATCCTATATTTTTAAAGTTTGTTTTAAAAGTTTGTTTTAAATCTGCTGTTCCTGCACCAGGGGCATCCTCTCTGCTTTGTGCTCCTCCACACCCATCTCTGCAGTTGTCTCCGAAGTGCAGCCTTCACCGTCCATGTTCTCCCCCACACTGGGCTGCTCCCTAGCACCTTGTGAAACTTGGCATAGGAGAGGGGCAAAACAAATTCTTGGTGAACATATTTCAGGAGCTGGGCCCCATCTCAGCCTGCACTCTCTCTTGAGGGCACATCCTGTGCATTCCACGGGCTCCTGGTTAGTGCAGCCCCACCTGACATTCCCATTCCACCCTACCTACTCATCACACTGCATTCCCTTTCTCTCTCCCTCTCTCTCTCTCTCTCTCTTTTGTTCTGTATTTTTAGTAGAGACAGGGTTTCACTACATTGGCCAGGCTGGTCTTTAACTTCTGACTTCAGGTGATCCACCTGCCTCAGCCTCCCAAAGTGCTGGGATTACTAGTGTGAGCCACCAGGCCTGGCCTTCTGCATTTCCTATCCAACCTATGAAACCACAGTTGTATCCGCGATACTGCTAGAAGGATTATCTGATCCACCTGCCCCTTTTGCAGATTTTACAGCTGAGACATAGGGAAAGTTGTGACTATTCAGGTTCTCATGGTGAGACACTCTCAGGGCAAGAACTTGTGTCCCCAGCACCCAGCCCAGTACTTTGCCTCCAAGCCAGCTGGTCACTCCCATTTCCATGGTTCCTGTGTTGTGACCCCAGTCCCTGCCATTCTGCCCTGAGATGTCCAGAGGAGAGAAGCAAATTTACTACCCAGACCAACAACCCCAGAAATGCTACAGAGAGCCTGTGCCTGGCCAAACCACACTCACGTCTTCCGGGTTCTCTTGGCCCAGCTTCTGGAGCACTGTCAGGTAGAACTTGAAGAAGAAGCTGAGGGTGAGGGTGCGCCGGAAGTCCACCATGCCGCCAGGGGCGTCGGGGGGCAGGTACAGCTCCTCGGCCAGGCCTGCACACACGTCCTGTAGCAGCTCCTCCTTCCATAGCCTGCCAGAGAGCAGGGCATGGGACAGTGCTCCTGCCTAGCCCTCCGTGTCCCTTTGTATAGAGCTGTGTGCCCAGGGCCATGGAGCTGTATAAAGCTTGGTTCAAAATTCAGCTTGGATACTTAGAGTTAGGTGACTTTAGGCACCATGCTTAAACTAACCTCATTGAGCCACTGTTTCCTCATGTTTAAAAATAGATACAATTTTTAAAGACCACCAAAGTAATAACAGTTAAATCTATCAAGCCCTCACAATGTGCTGGGCAACATCTTAAGTGTTTTAGATGAATTGTCACTTTTAATTTAAATTTTAAAATGTAGTAGGGAAAATTCCTATACCCATTTACCAATGAAAAAACTGAGGCATGGGGAGGGTCAATAACTTGACTTATGTTACCTATTTGGTAAATGACAGAGCCAGGAATTTTGGAACCAAGGAATCAAACTTCAAGTTAAGCTTTATAGATTCTATGTGGGTGCTATAAGGATTACACAGTGTAATGCTAGCAAGTGCTTGATACAATTTCTGTTATATAATAACCATAGTAATAGTAATGGTAGCAGTAGTAATAATCACAGCCATAGTGGTAGCAATAGTAGTAGTAGCAGAGAAGTAGTAGCATCAGCATCAATACTACTAGTAATAATACTAGCAACAGCAATAATGGTTGCAGTAGTGGTAACAATATAGATAGTAGTAGCAGAAGTAGTAATAGTCATAAAAGCAGTAGTAATAGAAGCAACAGCAATAGTAGTAATCACAGTAGTAACAGAAGCAATGCCAGAAAGTAGTAGTCATAGCAGCAGCAGCATCAATAACAGCAGTAATACTACTGTTAGTAGTAACAGTAGCAGCAGCAATACTAGTAGCAATAGTGATAGTAGTAGTAGCAGTAACAGTAGTAGCAGTAATTTCAGTAGCAATAATAGTAGCAGCAGTAATGCTATTAGGAAAATACTAGTATAACAGTAGTAATAGTAGTAGCAGTACTAATAGAATAAGTAATAGAAGAGGCAACAATAGTAGTAGTAGCAATGATAATAGTAATAACAGCAATAATACTAATCATAATAGTGATAGGAATTGCAGCAGTGATCATAAGTGTAGTGATAGTAGTAGCAACAGTAGTAATGTAATAGCAATAATGAGTAACAGTTGTAATTGTAAAGTAGAAGTAGCTGGAGTAGTAGCAATCATAATATTAATTACAGCTGCAGTAATAGTAGCAATAGTATAGTAGTAGTAGCAATGGTAATAGTATAGCAGTGGCAATACTCCTAGTAGTAATACTGGTAGTAGCATTAGTAATAGTTGTAGTAGCAACTGTGGTTATAGTGGAAGTAGAAGTGGTAGCAATAGTAGCAGCAGTAGCAGTAGTTATAGTAGTAGTAGCAGCAATAGTAATACTACTGGTAGTCATAGTAGCAGCAAGAGTAGCAGTGATACTATTAATGGCAGCAACAGCAGCACCAGTCTCATTCTGCTGTTAGCTCTTACTTGGAAAGTTGCCTCTGAGTAGTCTTGAGGGCCGAGATGGTTCTGTTGGCCATTCCACCATAGCAAAGGGCCAGCTCCTCTACCTCTGTGGTTCCTGGCTTGAATAAAACTCTCATTCCACTGGTTACCTTGGCAATGTCATCTTCTCTCCGGGAGGCCTGCTTGAATGCTGAGAAATACTCACCCTAAAAAAGAACAGAAAGGCGCCTGTGTTCCACCTTGCCCTGCAAGGGCTGCAAATGGCAGACTCAAATCGTAGGGCTATGAAGTAAGGGGATAACACTATCGCACAATAGTGGGGTAGCTGGCCCCAAGAATCAAAGGTCAAACGTAAATGATTACCACCTTTAGGAGAGGTTCCACATAACATTCCCAGAAGCTGGAAAAAAACCTGGATGTCTCCCTGCTAGTCAGAAAAGCCGAGGGTCAGGGACAAAGTGGAACTGCGTGGTCTCCATTGAACAACAGCTGCAGGGCGGGAAGGGTGCTTTCGCAAAGGCTCCTCAGAGACACCTCAGCCCTCTTACTTTCCCCACCCTGGTGCCCACTATCAGCACCCACCCACCCGGCTTCTCTGGGGACTGAGGCTGTTTGGCCCTTGGCATCCTCTGCTTGTGGCCTCCACAGTGCTCTCTCCAACTTGTCCCTCCCACCAGTCTTTGGCATCATTCAGACATCTTGGTGAAAGAGGCCGGGCACAGTGGCTTATGTCTATAATCCCAGAGGCCTAGGTGGAAGGAGTGCTCGAAGCCAAGTGCTTAAGACCAGCCTGGACAATATAGTGAGGACTTATCTTTAAAAAAAAAAAAAAATTAGCCAGGTGTGGTTGTGCACACTTGTGGTCCCAGCTATTTGGAAGGGTGAGGTGGGAGGATCACTTGAGCCTGGGACATTGAGGCTGCAGTGAGCTGAGGTCATGCCACTGCACTTCAGCCTGGGCCAGCAGGAAGAGTGAGATTCTGTCTCAAAACAAAAAAAATAAAGAAAAGAAAAGAAAAGAAAGAAAGAAATCTTGCTAAAAGGAAGTATCACTACTGCACTATGCAACAATCACTGCCCTTGTGCTTTAAATGCATTTTCCTCCATGAGTTTGAGTCAGGATCTGTCTTTAAGGATGGGAGAACAGCATGAGCCACTTTTCAGGTAAGAGCCACCTGATTTCAAGCCCTTTCTGTGTCAGGTTCCTTTTGAGATCTGTGCTTACTCTGGCATCACAAATGGTGTTGAACACCAAAGGTAGCAGGTTTAGGGAGAGGACAGCTATTGGAAAAAGCACCATGAGGCCTACAGTGGAGGCCACCAAATGGCTACAGGCTTTTCTCCGAAGAAGCCGTGGAGCCCCCTCCTGATGGTAAAGCAGGTCAGGTTGGATGTCAAGCATGGCTCTGGGACACTGAGCCCAGAGTTTGACCTTTCTTCTGGAACAGAGGTCCCAGATGCTCCCTCCCAGGACTGTGCCCGTCCACGGGGACGTTCTCACTGGGGTATGGTGAACTGTCAGTGTCAGATTGACAGTATCTTTTCTTGAGAGTCTTCTCATTCTGGGTATTAAAATCTCCTTTCTTAATGGCATAATGTGTTTTGTTAATGATCATACCTGGCTAATAAAAACTGAATAGAGCTATGCCTGTTTCCCCTCCTTTTATCGCTCATAATTTTAAAAAAAATTACTGAACTGTGAAATTCAAAACCCTGGGAATCACTGCACAAAATGGTCTATACAGACAAGCTAGAAAACCATTAAGAAACCACCTCAGGGATATAATTGCTTTAATTTAATTAGCGTTCTCATTAAGGAGGTCAAAATTACCAAGGGCAAAACATGCCTCAGAACACTCGCTAAAGCGCCGGCTGTGGGAAACCTTCACACTCTCCCTGATAGCGGCTCCCCGCACCTCTCCAGATGCCTTTTCTGAAAAGCCCTTTTGGAATGTGTTCTGAGCTGGTAGCTGCTACAAAAGGAGAGACCCACACCAGCTCAAGACATCACAGGCCCCAGGGAACAAATAGTATGGCAGCCAGTGGTGCCCAGACCTGCCCCAACAGGCCAGAAGAGCCACCCATGAAGCAGGAATCCAACCACACCAACCCACAGCAAGCTCAGTGAAGCAACATCTCGTCAAGCCTCAGGTCAGCGTATGAGGGTCTGAGCCACAGGCAGCTTCTTCATGCAGCATGTGAGCCCCACATTCTTCACCACAGGAAAGCAAATTTCCTCTGACGTGGGCAGGAATCCTCGACAGCTACATGCGTTCTTGGAATTCTGTTGTTAGCTACTGGTCATCTCCACTGGCTTCTGGGCGTCACCAGGAACCTTACGAATTATTTATTTTCAGTCCTCACAATAACCCATATGGTAAGTAACATGGTGTCCATTTTACACATGAGGAAGTTAGGGCTCAGAAAGGTGAAATGACTCTCAGGACCAAGTATCTAGCTATCTGGTTCCACAGTCCCTACCATGTGGACTCCTATCCTGCAACTTCTCATTGTCCAGAAAGGAATATGTTTGGTTGAATAGTGGCAATGTTTGGAGAGAAAAACCAATGTAAAAGTTGACAGATGCTCAGGCTGGTGGAGGCAGACCCTGGTCTCTTTGTCTAGAGCCTGGCAGTAGGACTCATTTGAGCAGAGCCTGGAACCAACACCCTCAAACATCTCACCTCCCTGCTGTAGGGGATCTCTATGGAGAGGAGTATTTCCTCGGGGCTCAGCAGGGTCTTTCTGTAGCCGGGGAAGAAGGTGTGGTCCATCCGAACAGTTCTCCTCGTGCCTGTACAGAAGCAAGATGAAGAGGAGCCAACGTGAGGGAAAGGCTGGGAACCCCATGGGGAGCAAAGGACAACCATCAGTGGGATTCTTCATGCTGGTCTCCAGTGCCCACAGTCAGAGTGAATGACTGGCACAATTGGGGCCAAATCCTCCATCTGAAATCCTTAAGCATCCTTAAGCAATGGTGTGCTGGTGAATCTTTAACAACCAGTTTCACGTAGGGGGGATAAGCCCTAGTTTATAGCATTTGCCAATTTCTGTGGTGTAAATACTTCCAATAGCCAATTTCAGGATACCAAAGTTGCACTGAATCTGAAGCTGGGAAGAAAGCAGAAATGTTAGCATAGCAACCCTGACCACTGTCCTCTGTAGGGCCTGCTTGCAAGGCTGGCCCTTGGGAACTTGTACTTCAGAAGGGTTCCCAGCACTCCATGATAGAGCAGCTCACTGTGCCTACACTATTTGTACAAACAATTGTTTATGCTGAACCCCTGCTTTCCTTCTGGGAGTCTAGACTTTGGGCACATGCCAGTAGAGGCTGCCTGTGTGACCAGCTCCCAAGAAAACCCCAGGTGCTGAGCCTCTAATAAGCTTCCTTGGTAGGCAAGACCTCACTTGTGTTGTCACAATTCATTGCTGGAGGAATTAAACATGCACTGTGTGACTGTGCTGGGAGAAGTCTCTGGAAGGTTGTGCCTGGTTCCCCCAGACTTTGTTCCCATGTATCTTTTCCCTTTGCTGATTTTGTGTCCTCCTGCTATAATAAGTCACAGCCAAGAGTATGACTGAATGCTGAATCCTCCCAGTGAATATCAGAGCCAAGGTGGTCTTGGGGACCCTCTGACAAAGCAGAGATGTACAGGAGCACATAATTGTAGAGCATGCCCACTGTACAGACAGAACAGATGCAAATAACTCCAAGAGGGCTTATAACAGCAAAATGAAGTAATTAGGAAGTGATTCATTTTGAGTATTTATTTCTTTTGTTTTGAATATAATTTATTTCATTGTAAATTTACACACACCTCTTATTTTTATTTTAATTTTTGAAACTGGGTGTCTCTCAGTCACCCTGGAGTGACAGTGGTGCAATCTTGGCTTACTGCCTCTGATTCCCAGGTTCAAGTGGTTCTCCTGACTCAGCCCTCTGAGTAGCTGGGACTAAAGGTACACACCACCATGCCCGGTTAATTTTTGTGTTTTTAGTAGAGATAGGGTTTCACCATGTTGGCCAGGCTGGTCTTGAACTCCTGAGCTCAAGTAATTCTCCTGCCTCGGCCTCCCAAAGTGCTGGGATTTCAGGCATAAGCCACCACCATTCCTGGCCTGATTTTTTATTAATAACTATATTTCACAAATGACTCACAGAATTCCTGATGGTCTAACAGCAGGCTGTGGTGAGCCAGTGCATCCCAACCCCGTCACCCCGCTAGGTAAGGCATGCAGGTAGCAGTTCCTGCTGTGAAGTCTCTACAAAGAAAAGGCCCAGCTCTCCTGTCGCCCTAACCACATACATTATCCTATTTCCCTGGACCCAAACCTTAGGGACAGCTGGGTCACTGAACTTTGAGCTCTGTTTCTCCAGACAGTGACTTGTCTGGTGAGACTTTTCTCCCCCAAGTCCTTCTTTCTGGACCTCTGCTTCAGGCAGCTTACCTTTGGACACAAGTGTCAGCTTAGCCCCACTGGCCATGAACACAGGGTTGAGATCGGAGATGGGGCTGGCCGTGATGATGTTTCCTCCAATGGACTAAAACAAGCAGAGAGTATGCAGTGAGAGAGCATTCCAGGAAACCCTTGCTCATGCAGCAGGCTCCTGAACGCAGGGCAGCGGGGTGACACCTGCTGTAGGGAGACCCCTGAGGACCTGTGCCTACTGTGGCCACAATACCAGCACTGTGAGAACACGGGCATTCCGAAAAACATGCAAAACTTGAAATCAGAACTCTTGGAACTGGATCCCAACTCTGAAATTTAGCAGGCAAGCCCCTTTAAGTGTGTTTGTTTTTTGATTGATGATTTCACCCAACATTTTCCTGAAAGGATAGAGGTGGTTTATCACAGAGGCCATGTAGAGTTAGTAAAATGAGGATAAAGGTCAAGGAAAAGAGGAGGAAGACTTCAGGTTGAACAATTTGCTCTATTTGGATCTGAATTTCCTGGTAACGTGGCAAAAAAAAAAATAAGAAGAATCAGATATTCTAATCATTATTAGAAAACAGGAAGAAAATCAGTGGCGCAATGAAAATAAAATTCTTCCTGGAAGTAGATTGTAGCAGAACTAGGGAACTCAGCAGAGTTTCTGAGTTTACGTCTCCTTATCTATAATCAGAAGTGACAGGTACTTGGGGTGGGGCCTGAGAGGAATAGAAGTAGGCTGTTTGTTTTAATTTAAAAAATAATAATTTAAAAATGGAAGGGATAGCTTTTCTTCCAACACCATAAACTGTTGTGAAGAGCTCCCATTGGCACAGGATGTGTGAATGCCACCTGCAAACAGAGGATGTGGGGACTCGTCTGAAGGCTGCCTGTGAACAATCACAGGTGGATTCCTCCCTCCTGTCAGAGGGCTCTGTCTCTGAAAGGAAATTCCCCTCCCAATTTTGGCTTCTCCCTAGCATATCTCTTATTCACCTACTGCTAGGCTCTGCCAAGCTCAGGAAGAGGGAGGGGGGTAGGAAGCTGCATCTCTGCAACCACAGCATGAAGCCTACGAGTCGCGGACTGCGTTTCCCAGGGTGCCCCACCGACCACCGTCAGAAGCACCTGAAGAGCTGGGCTACATCCCAGACCCATGTGTCAGAATCTCTGAGGGTGGGCCCAGGAATCTGCATTTTAACAAGCATTGCTCCTCCCACCCCCAGGCAACTCTAAGCACTAAAGTTTGATGCCCACTGCGCTGACGCAAGTGAGAGTCTGGCTACCCTGCTTTGGGATGAAAGCTCCATCCTGCGGGCCTCACTTGCCTCTGACAGCGACTCACCGCCACAGACTTGACCTGCTTCCCAGCAAACCAGCGCAGCTGCTCCAGGACCCCTCTGAACACCTCTGTCTTTTGGGCAGGAAGCTTAGCAACGGCATCAACCAGGGTCTTTTCCACAATGCTCAGGGGGCAAGCAGCTCCGAAGGAGATACCTGGGAACACACATTCGGAATAACAGCAATCCTTCCCACAGTTCAGAAGAGGATTGCATCCACAGCTCCGCTGAAGCTTTCCAACAACCCCAGCAATGTTGAATCAGGACTCCCAGCTTTACATGGATAATTATGACCCAGAGTGGCTGAATGACTTAACCAATGCCACACAGCTCATAAACGAGCCAGTACTCAAGCTTAGGCCTCTTGATCCTGCAACCGATGCTCTTTCCTCTAAACTGGTACCTCTCAACTCATTAAAATCAGAATCTCTGGGGTGAAGTCCTAGCATTCTTTTCAACAGCACTTAAGCACAGCCCCCACCTCCCCACCCCCACATGAGGGATTCTAATGTGTAATCAGAAATGAGAAAAATGATTGAAGATTCCGTAGCCTCTTGTTGACTGGCACCCTACCATAGAAGCTTAGCGGATAAAAGGCAATGAATCAGTCCCCTCCCATCTTTCCCTGTGCAAGGTGGGCTCCAGGAGAAGCAGGGGCAGCCAGAGCCAGTGAGGAGGCCACCCTGACACCTACCACCAACGTTGTGACCCATCCCCAGCCTCACAGCCCCTCCATGAGCTTGGAGTGAACCTCCCCTTACCCTCTGGTCCATGTTCTACTGAATTCAGCTCAGGGATCCAGGCTGGGCAGACAATCATAGGAAATAGCATATTCTTGAACTTCATCTCGATGCCTAGAGAGAAACAAGAAGCCCAAGTTGTAGGTGCATTGTTGTATCACCAGGGCAGGCCTTAGCAGCTTTTCCCACCATTACACACAGGATATATGACATAGCCACAATCACAATATGCTCCCTGGTGACTGTAGGTGTTTGGTAATAGGAAACTCAGTAGAACATGGGTGGGATTAGTCTTTGGACTATCAGCCTGAAAACTATCTCAAAAAACTATCTGAATTCAAATGAAATGAGTTTGAATTCACTGGAGAGAGAGAGAGAGAGAGTGTGTGTGTGTATGTGTGAACAACATTAGAAAACACTGGAGGCCAGGCACGGTGGCTCACACCTGTAATCCCAGCACTCTGGGAGGCCGAGGCGGGCAGATCACGAGGTCAGGAGTTCAAAACCAGCCTAACCAACATGGTGAAACCCCGTCTCTACTAAAAATACAAAAATTAGCTGGGCATGCTGTTGTAAGAACCTGGGAAACAGATGTTGTTGCAGTGAGCCAAGATCGGGCCACTGCACTCCAGCCTGGGTGACAGAGCAAGACTCTGTCTCCAAAAAAAGAAAAGAAAAGAAAACACAGGAAATTAAGGTATGTCAGGAACCCTTCTAAGCACTTTCCCTATTTTAACTTATTTAATCCTCACAATAACCCTGTGAGGAACTCTGATTTTTCCATTTACGGATGAAGACGCTGAGGCACAGAAAGATTAAGTTTCTCGCCCAAGTCACACAGCTAAGAATAAGCAAATTTCACTACTGGAATGATTATTTGTGTTGGGGTATAATAGTAATAAAAACATGAAAGTTTAACATTAAAGCAGAAAAGGAAAATGGGTGGGAAAACTTCAAATCTGTCTTCCAGTTCCCACTATCTGCCTGAGTTCTTCAAGCTTTCTGGCTTGGAGGGGCCACACATCTGTGTGTGGTTTCTGGCCTTCCTGACTAATGAGTCAGAAGCCTCTGTTAAACAAATGTGCCTCTGTTCCTTAAGCCTAGTTGGCCCAGCACCTCGCCCAGCCTTGCCAACAGGATATAGATGGAAAAGGTTAAAAAAGAAATACCTGTGACCTCCTTGCCCCACCCCTAACCCCAGGTGCTGTTTAGGATTTCTGAAGGGAGCCCTAGGCTTTGAGGGTCCCCAGATTCCAGAAATCCTCAAAGTTCCCTTCAGAAATCCTAAACAGCAACTGAAGATCAGCCCCCTTTGAATATCAGCTTCCAGGACAAAGAATACAGATTGAGGCAGTAAGTCCTCCCGTGATAAGGTTTTCTCTGTGTCTGCCTTCCCCCAACACCCTGCGTTGACTGGAGCTGGCAATGCTCCTGGGGTATGCATAAGAGAGGAGGGAGTGGCACAGACAGAGGTGGTCTTAAGAAATCATTCCTAATTGTGGAGCTTATGTAATCTTTGTAAATTCCTTTCTCTTGGAATCCAACTGGGCCCAGGCCATTGGATGACTCAGAGCAAGGGGCATGCAATGATCCCCTCGAGGCTGAGGTGGGGGACCACTTGAGCCCATGAGTTTGAGGTGAGCTATGGTAGCATTGCACCACTGCATTTCAGCCTGGGCAACAGGGTGAGACCTTGCCTTTGAGAAAAAAAAGGAAGGACCTCCTAAGATTACCCCAGCCACCTTAAATCAAGCTACACCTGGGCTACCTGAACTGTGAGTCCTGTTGAGCCATGGCCATCAAGATCACATTTCTTGAAGTGTGTCTCAGCCCACCCTGCTGCCTCAGCGTGTCACTAAACCACAGCTGGGGACGCTACTGTGTGTATGTGCTCATGAGGGCGGCGCCCACTCTGACTCCATAAGCACTGACCCAAGCCAGGCTCTCCTCTTTGCGGCTGAGGAGTCAACCAGAACCCAGGGCTTGGCAGCTCCTTCAGGAACCAGGGCCAGGTGTCTCCCCCAAGCTGGACCTGACTGCTTAGAAGGATGGCATGCCCCTCCACAGCAGAGGTCCTCAGCTGGGCCGTAGCCTCCTCTTTAGATCCTCACTAGGCTTGGGACCCAGCAAAGTAGAAATAGACCATGCCAGGTTTAGAAATCGATAGAGATTAGCAGAGGCCTGGGAACCTCTGCCATCTCTCCCCATCTCTTAAAGCACTGCGGCTGAGAGCTGCATATCCCGAGTCTCCCAGTGTGTTCGAGTATTCTGGGCCTCACATCCCAGACGGTAGCACTGACAGGGCAGGTGGCCACAGTCACAGGCAGCACAAACTGCCTACGATGAATATTAGAGTCACGAGTGACGGTGATAAAGTGGGTGTAGGGTGGTGTACTTAGATAGAGCTACAAGCTGCAGATCATGTTCTTTGAAGAGAGCTCTCCTTGCTTGTTTGTTTCTTAAATAAATGGATTGCTTAGAGAGGGAATAGGTTTCTTGAGGTGCTTATATATTAGATATAGCCAGGAGGTCAGTGTAACTGCCATGCTACCGTCACACCTGGAGCTCTCCTCTTCTTTACCTTATCACATCATTCCCCAGAAGAAGTGGGATGGTAGGCTCAAAAGCATGACTTTTATGGAACCTCTAGTGTTCATCAGACACTAGCCTAGACACTATGCTTGAATTACTTCTTCTTCCCTTAGACTAGAAGTCTCTTGAGGGCAAGGAACCATGTCCAATTGATCCTTGTCTCCCAAGCCCCTTTTTTGGGAAAAAACTCAACTACATGCAAGAATCTCATTTTACACCCAAAACAATCCTTTAAGGAGTTATTAGTAGCCCCATATAAAAAACAGAACATGAAGGTAGACAAGGACAAACAACTCTTTGGAGGTCACACATCCAGCAAGGAGCCGAGCCAGATCTGTGGGACTCCACAGCCAGAGGTCTTTGCAGGAACTGGAGTTTCCAGGGCTTTCTGGTGGGCTCCAGGTAGTCAGTGGGGCAGAGGGGTCGGGTGCAGAGGCAAGTAAGGACAGGGGGAGGTGAGGATGTGCAAGAGGACCTAGCAACACCCCCAGGCCTCAGGCAGCCCCAGGGAAGCCTCCCCAGTCCTTACCAATCTCCGTGTTCCCCACCACCAGCTTGGCACCGGGGTACTCAGCCTTGAGGTCCAGCAATTCCTTGAGGGTTGAGACCTGTATCCACGTCACACGCTCCCCTTCAAATCGCAGCTGCTTCCGAGGAGTGTCTTTCAGCCTCTGGGAAATGTAGTTTTCTTACTACACTGTCTCTTTCTTCCTACTGTCATTCCCCTGACAAATTGCTTTAAGTCAGCAATGGGATGTTTTACTGACATTCAGAACGAAAATATCTATCAGGGAGAAGTAAGGGGAAGTAATATGTTCAGAGGCAGGAACTCAACTGGGACTGTTAAACATATGCTTAGTCTTTACAAGACCTCCATGAAGGAGGCATTATAAGCCTCATTTTCACCACTGAAAGAAGATCCTGAGGGTCAAGGAGGTTATGGGATCTGCTGAAGGTCACCTGCCATGAGGAGTCCCCAACAGACCTAGCTGAAAGCCCAGGCTCCTTGCAGTGCCCCATACTGTCTCCGGGGGGCACCAAGGACAAGGCATGAGAAGAGATGGAGGCCAGGAAGGTAGGAAGGGGTGTTTGTTACAAGGTGATGCCTAGGAAGGCTGGCTTTAGTGCTTGCAGGGTGACACTGGGCTGAACGAAGCCCTCAAATCAAACTGCTGGGTATTTTCAAAGTTTCACAGTCCAGAGAAAGATCTGCTGGTGGTTGGCTCCACAGCCATTCTCTCTGGCCTGTTGAAGCTACAAGCAAGTTTTCATAAGCACAACATCCTGAGAAGTGTGCACTTGAAAAACTCCAAGTGGCTTGATTTTTTCATTCCCATAAATATTAGGGTGATGGTGATAAAGTGGGTGTGAGGGGGTGTCCTTAAGACAGAGCTGCAAGCCACAGGTCATGTCCTTTGAAGAGAGTTTTGTTTGTTTGTTTGTTTCTTAAATAAATGGATTGCTTATAGAGGGAATAAGTTTCTTGAGGTGCTTATAAATTACATATAGCCAGGAGGTCAACAAATGGTTATAGTGCACCTGCTACATTACAGTGTGCCCAGAGAGCCAGTCCCTATCATCATGGGGCTTGCCACTTAGCAAGGAACACAGACATCAAATCAGTAACTGTAAGTGTGACACACATGAGCAGATGTGCAGGGCTGTGAGCACACGTAGCAGAGACTCAACCTAGTAGGGTGTCAGAAAATGGAAGGGAAATTTAAGCTGAAACCTAAAGGACAGGAAAGACACAAGTTCCCAGTGGGTATGAAAATAAAGCAGGTTTCCAGGGACTCACAATAGAGACTCTGCTAGACCTGTCCCTGAGGCATCACCTACCAGCAACTCGGGAGGAAAAATGGGCTCCTGGGTGGGATCCAGGGGTGTGAACTCCTCTGGTTTGAATAAAGATGGCGAGAGACTAACCTATGGGGAAAGAGAACAAGTAGGTGGTACGGTATCTCCTCCTTTCAAATGCCCAAGAGGACCAATTCAGCCTTTCCTTCCAGCAAGCTCATTCCCAGCCCTACTGAAGGCTGCAAGAGGAGCAGGTAATACCTGGGAAGCAGGAATGAGAGGGTCTCAGTTAGAGGACCCGGGGCTAACGTGCACCATCACCATCCCCACAGTCTGCCATCACTGACTCACCATAGCATCCTTGTCCAGTCCCCACTGCCAGGGACATGAGCTTGTGCACCAACTCCTCTAAGTCTCAGATTACCCCCAGGCTTCCAGTGGGAGAACTCACTTACTGAGTGGTCTTTCTTCTGGTTCATGCAGCAATTTGGATTGTTCACATCTCCTCCACAGCATCCACCATCCTAGAGAGATGATGAACATTTGCACAAGGGTATTTACAAAGAGTATTCGCAGAAGCTAAGGAATCTGGATTATTAATATCTAGAACACTCCAGCTCTGATGCTTGTCCCAGCATCAACAGCAGGGGCAACATACCTAACTATTGTGCAGAGTGGAGGTCTCAGTTACATTCCCTCTTGCTTGGCTAACATAGATTAAACAACTCATGTATAAACAAACAGAAGGAACAAGGTCGCTGAATTTCAGGAACTTGTTTCCATAAAAACTAGATCCTACTTTACCAAAACCTATCCTTTATGCCCATTTCTCTTCTTCAGTGCTGCTTCCTCAGGAAGCCTCTATGAGGGATATTCCCATTGACTCTCTCAAGACTCAAGAGGCTTGACTTCCAGATCAGCAAGGTTCTAGGGGACTTCGCTGGTGTCTCCTAGTCTGGAGTCTCTGTGGGACTCTGCTGAGGATGTCCAAGATGGATGCTGGGCCCAGCGCTATGTCCAGCCAGTGTGCCCAATGGCCTCCCCGCTGCTTATTAGGCACTTCCTCCCAGAAAGGTAAACACTCTTCACTCCTCACTGTGGGCCTGTTCTGGAGGAAGTACGCAGGTCACACCACCCAGCAACTCTGGGAAAAGACTTGCTCAGGACCTCTTAGGATACCAGCGGCAGAGCACACACAGAGTCTAGAATCACTGCATCCCAGCACCAAGGCATTGCAGGGTGGCAGAGGACAGTGCTCAGCTGACTGATCTGCAGCTCAGGGCTTCAGGAGACTGAGTGCTGGAGTTGTGCTGAGATGAAAAAGTAGAGAAAACTTATAGGCTCTGCCCCAGGCACTCTTATGGGGCAGTCAGTTCCTGAAAAAGCAGGCTGGGAGCAGTCCTTCTGCATGTTGGCCACAGGAGACACCATGTCATGCTGGCATTTCCCAGAAGCTGTGTCACAACCCATTGTCTTTCCCAAGAAAGTGCTCACAGGGTTGGGACGCTGGAGGTGTGACCTTGGACAACTTGTAAGCAGGCAGGCGATGGCAACAGGAGAGAAACCCTCCACCCCCCTCACCACCTGCACATGCATACTGCTCTGTGTGCAGACTCTTCCTGCATTCATGGCTCCAGCACTGGGTGCCAGACCTGCTCTGTCCATTCTGAGCCTCCCTGCAGCCAGCCACCTTGCACTTCCCCTCTACATTTAGGCAGAAAGCAAGGAAAAAGGAGAGGTTTCTAACTGCCTCTTCTCATCTTTCTTCTTGGAGGAGTGAAACAGGGAAATGCCCCAGGCCTACCTGAAGTGGAAGGTCCTGCATCCCACTCACCTGGCCCTTCTGAGGAAGGACATATTTCACAGAAGGACCTTTTCCAGACAAAGTGCCGCCTCATTATCACCTAGACCTATTTTCTTGATAATTCTTTGGTGCGTTAATGACATAAATTACTGTGATGTGCAATCATGCGTCACTGCCCTCAAGACCTATTGAGGTTGGATAAGACTTAATTTTCTCCACCCTCCTGAGATTCCTACTTTACTAAATAGAAGACTTCTGGGCTGGTGCCTTAAAAAAAAAATTTTTTTTTTAAGAGTGGTTTAAGGTTCACAGAAAAAAACTCAGTGGAACATGTAGAGAATTCCCAAATATCACCTATCCCAACACACACACACACACACACAACCTTCCTCACTTCAACATCCTCAAAAGTGGACTCCACTGACACATCACTACCATCCAAAGTCCATAGTTTACATGAAGATTCACTCTTGGTGTTGTACATTCTACTAGTTTTGACAAATGCATAATGAAACATGTCCACTCATAGTATCTTACAGAATAGAGTTATACTGCGCTAAAAAACTTCTGTGTCCTGCCTATTCATCCCTCTCTCCCCTAATTACTAGCAACCAATCTTTTTACTGCCTCCATAGTTTTGTTTTTTCTAGAATTTGATAGAATTCATATCATACAATATGTAGCTTTTTAAGATTGACTTCTCTCCTAGCCCCCCAATCCCCCAACAGACCCCAGTGTGTGATATTCCCTTCCCTGTGTCCATAGCGCGGGGTGGGGAGGTTTGGGAGTGATAACATTGGGAGAAATGCCTGATGTAGGTGATCTTTGTGAAAGATCAGTTGATTATATTTATGTTGGTCTATTTCTGGTCTCTCTATTCTGTTCCACTGATCTCTTTCAATTCTTTTACAAATACTACACTGTCTTGATAACTGCAGCTTTGTAGTAAATCTTGACATTGGGTAGTGTGAGTCCTCTGACTTTGTTCTCCAGTCTCCATCAATATTGAGTTGGCTATTCCATGTCTTTTTCTTCTCCATATAACTTTAGGATCAATTTTTGATGGCCACAGAATAATTTACTGGGATTTTGATTGGGATTGCATAGAGTCTACAGTTGGGAACAACTGGCATCTTGATATATTTGGTTTCCTATCCATGAAAAAGGAATGTCTCTTCATTTATTTAGTTTTTTGGTTTTGTTTAGCAGAGTTTTGTAGTTTTTCTCACATAAATTTTGTATACACTTTTTAGATTTTTACCTAAGTATTTCATTCTTTGGGGAGTGCTAATGTAAAACGTAAATGATAATGTGTTTTGAATTTCAAGTTCTACTTATTTATTGCTGTTATGTAGGAAAGTGATTAACTTTTGTATTACCTCTGATTTTATCTTCTGAAAGAGATGGTAGACAATTGGCATAATCTCTTTTTTAAATGTTTGGTAGGACTTACCAAACATGAATCTATCTGGGCTTGGTGCTTTCTGTGTTAAAGCTATTAATTACTGATTTAATTTTTTCAATAGTTATAGGCATATTCAGATTATCTATTTCTTTTATGTGAGTTTTAGTAGCTTACATCTTTCAAGGAATTGGTTTATGTCATCTAGGTTTATCAAGTGTGTGAGCATAGAGCTGTTGTTAATATTCCTTTATTATCCATTTAATGTATGTGAGATCTATACTGAGATCCTTTTATTTTGATATTAGTAATTTGTATCTTCTCTTTTTTCCTTAGTTAGCCTGGCCAGAGGCTTATTAATTTTATTGATCTTTTTGAGGAACCAACTTTCAGTTATGTTGATTTTCTCCACTGATTACATATTTTCAATGAAATTGATTTCTGCTCCAAATTTTTTCTTCAGCTTATTTTGATTTGCCTTTTTTTTTCTAGTTTTATAAAGTGTGAGGCCAGATTACTGATTTTATTTTATATAGTGTTTTATTTTTATTTATTTATTTTTTTTGGGGGGGGATGGAGCCTCACTCTGTCACTCAGGCTGGAGTGCAATAATACATTCTGGGCTCACTGCAACCTCTGCCTCCCAGGTTCAAGCAATTCCCCTGCCTCAGCTTCCTGAGTAGCTGGGATTACAGGTGCATGCCACCACGCCTGACTAATTTTTGTATTTTTAGTAGAGATTGGGTTTCACCATGTTGGCCAGGCTGGTCTCAAACTCCTGACCTTGTGATCTGCCTGCCATGGTCCCCCAAAGTGCTGGGATTACAGGCATGACCCACTGCCCTCAGTGGATTATAGATTTTAAATCTTCCTTTCTAATGTATGCGCTCAGTACTATACTTTCCCTCTAAGCATTGTTTTCACTTCATCTTACAAATGTTGATAAGTTGTTTTTTCAATTTCATTGAATTCAAAATATTTTAAAATTTCCCTCAAGATTTTCTCTTTGATCCTCGTGTTATTTTGAATTGTGTTGTTTAATCTTCAAGCATTTGGGGATTTTCCAGCTATCTTTCTGTTATTGATGTCTAGTTTAATTTCATTTTCATTTGAAAGCAAACAGTATATGATTTCTATTCATGCAATTTAAATTTGTAAATGTGTGTTTCATAGCACAGAACGTGGCCCATCTGGGTGAATCTTCCACGTGAGCTTGAGAAAAATGTCTTTCATGCTGTTGTTGGCTAAAGTAGTCTATAAATGTCAATTATATCTAATTAATTGATGGTGCCATTGAGTCCAATTATGTCCCTACCGATTTTTGACCTAGTGCATCTGTCCATTTCTGATATAAGGGTGTTGAAATCTTCACATATAATAATGGATTCATCTGTTTGTCTCTGCAGTTCTATCAGATTTGTCTTATGTATTTTGAAGCTCTGTTGTTAGGTGCATACACATTAAGGATTGTTATGTCTTCTTGGAGTATTGATTCCTTTATTATTTTTAATGCCCCCCTTTTTCTCTGATAACTATTCTTGATCTGCAGTTTGCTCTGTCCAAAATTAATATGCTACTTCCACTTTCTTTTGATATCATGATCTACCTTTCTTCATCTACTTAGTTTTAGTCTGTTTGTGTCTTTTCATTTAAAGTAGGTTTCTTGTAGACAATATATAGTTGAGTCTTGTCATTTTCATCTACTCTAACAATCTGTCTTTTAAAGGGTATATTTAGATCATTGACATTTAAGGTGATCATTGATACAGTTGGATTAGGATCTATCATAGTTGTTATTGTTTTCTATTTGTTGCCCTTGTTCTTTCTTCCTAGTTTTGTCTTTCACACATTTTCTGTCTTCTCTGGTTGTAACTGAGCATTGTATATAATTCTATCTCCTCTCTTTTCATAAAATATCAATTATACTTCATTTTAAACTTTTTTTTCTGGTAGTTGCCTTAGAGTTTGCAGAATACATTTATACTAATCCAAGTCCACTTTTAAATAACACTATGCCACTTCACAGATAGTGATAGTATCTTAACAATAACAAAGTATTTCTAATTTTCCTCTTGTTTATTTTATCATTGCTGTTTTTCATTTTACTTATACACAAGCACATATACATATGCATGAACACATAAACAAATACATTGTTGCTATGAATGTCTTGAACAAATTTCTATCTGCTAGACCAATTAAGAGTACAGAAAATAAAAGATTTTATTTTACCTTTACTTATTCATTCTCTGATGCTCTTCCTTTCTTTACGTAGATCTGAGTTTCTGGCCTACATCATTTTCCTTCCCTTTGAAGAACTTTTTAACATTTCTTGCAAGACAGGTCTACTGGCAACAAATTCTCTCAAGTTTTGTTTTTCTGAGAAAATATTTCTCACTGGCTTTTGAGGATACTTTTGGGGGCTATAGAATTGTAGGTAATTTGGTTTTTTTCTTTCAATACATTAAGTATTTCACTCCATGCTTCTTGCTTGCATGGTTTCTGGGAAAAGTCAGATATAATTATATATTTGCTTTTCTATAGGTAAGGGATGTTTTCCTCTGGCTTCTTTTAAGTCATTTTCTTTACCTTTGATTTTTTGAAGTTTGAGCCCCACCTGGCCTGGGGCTCAGTTAACTGCATGTACAAGCATGCAGGCCTGGGGCTCAGTCAGCTCCTGCATGTTGAAAACCTTGGTCTCTGTCCCTCTCAGGTGTGATTCTGCCTGCAGAAACTAAAAACTTTACCTTCTTCTTCAAGTCTTTGACTCCTGGGATCTTCAGGGAAGTTTGGGAGTTTGGAACCCATCCGACTCTATTAGGGGGTGCTATGCTGCAGGTCTATCTTCAGGCAGTCTCCCTGACCCAGGACGTTTTTGAGGATGAGAGAAAGGAAAGTTTTTGTTGGGTTTTGTTTTTTGGTATTTATCCTGATTGTTGTTCTCTGAATTTCCTGACTCTGTGGTCTAAAGTCTGACATTAATTTTGGGAAATTCTCAGTCATTATTGCTTCAAATATTGCTTCTTTTTCTTTTTCTTCTTCTTCTGATATTTCCATTACATATATGTTACATCTTTTATAGTTATCACACAGTGCTTATTTGTTTCTGTTCTGTTTCTATTCGCTCCCTTTTCTCTGTTTTTTTGGTTTTGAAAGTTTGCATTGTCATATACTCAAGCTCAGAAATTCTTTTCTCAGCCATGTCCAGTCTTTTAATGAGCCCAACAAAGGTAGTCTTCAATTTGTTATAAGTATTTTCAATCTCTAGCATTTCTATTTAATTCCGTCTCAGAATTTCCATTCTCTGCTTACATTATGCATTTGTTCTAGTATGTTATCTATTTTTCCGTTAAAGCTCTTAGAATACTAACCATAGCTTTATGAAATTCCTCATTCGTTAATTCCAATATCCCTGCCCTATCCGATTCTGGTTCTCCTGTTTGTTCAATCTCCCCAAATTTTGTTTGCCTTTGACTATGCCTTACAATTTTTGGTTGAAAGGTGGACATGATGTACTACCTAAAAGGACCTGATATAAATAGGCCTTTAGTTAATGTATTGTTAAGACATGAAGGAGAAGTATCCTGTAGTCCTAGGATTAGTCTCAGTCTTTTGGTGAGCTTGTGCCCCTGGCCTGTGAACTTCACAAGTGCTTCTCAGGTTGGTTTTTTTTTCCTCCATTTGGTGGGACAGGATGACTGGAGGCGGCTGGACTTGTGTATTTCCCTTCCCACAGGTGAAAGACTAGAGGGTCCTGAAGCTGCGTATTTCCCCTTCCCGAGGTAGGTTAGGCCCTAATATAACCTCAGAAGTTTAGGCTGTGGTAAAATAATTTCTCCTGAGGGCAGGCCTTCTCAAGAAGAACAGAATGCTCTGGCATATTTCAAAATGGTTCCTTTTCCCACTCCCCATCAGAAACACAAGAGGATTTTTCTCCAACATTTACTGTGAGGACCTAGTAGAACTCCTGGAGGTAAAACTCACAAAAGTGCAGCGCACCCCCTGCCTCCCCCTGGAGTTTATATCCCTGTTATGCTCCAGCAATTCATCAGTTAGTATTTACATTTTCTACCCTGGTAAAGGTTTCTGCAGAAGTTTCTGATTTTGTGTTTCTGCTCTGATATGTTGTGTCTGTCTCTCCAATTTTTTGGACAATTAGTTGTCCTTGACCTCATTCCTCTGATGGATCTGAAGACAATTGTTGATTCTTCAGTTTGTTCAGCTTTTTTCTTCTTGTTTAGATGAAATAAATACTCCTAAGCTGCTTACATTTACATGCCAGACCAGGAACTGGAAGTCTTGCTTGTTCCTGTTTAATAGCTCCTCCATTTCTTTCCTTGCTGCCAGATAGACATGGTCACTTCTTGCTGTGAGCAGTGTGCCCACCGCTAGCTGACCCTCCACATGCTTTCTAGTGTGTGCTATGGACAGGAAAACTAGATAACCAAGTTTGTTAGAGCTGTGTGTAAAATAACAGTAAAAAGATTCTAAAGAAGCATCTCGGGGACCTCTGACGAGTAACGTGCATTAGCTTCTGAGCACCTTTTGTGTGTCAGGCATTTTGGCTGCTCAGAGCTCTCAGCCTTGCTTTGCTCTACACTGCTGGGTAGCTGAATTGAGGGAGGTAAGTGCTGCATGATGAAATCAAGGTGCCATTTCAACTTCAGGGAGGGAAGGCAATTGCTATGCTCAAAAATCCTTCTGTTTTGAAAAACTAAGAGGACTGGTTACATTATATGACTTTTAGCAGGTTCTTATGAAGTAAATAGAGGCAAGATGAACAATCCTTGGTTCTCCAAAAATGCTGAGTAACTTGTGAAGATTATATAGTGGCTAATGGAAGAAATGTATCAGCATTATAATTTAAGGTTGCCATTTATGAAATAACTGAAATGTCCCAGGCATTGTTCTAAAAGCTTTACAAGAAGTACTTAATTTTTATACACACAGTGAGGTAGATATTCTAAGGTAATCACCTAATAAGATCACCATTTTATTAGGTTGGTGCAAAACTAATTGCAGTTTTTCTTTTCATACTTTTAATGGAAAAACCACAGTTACTTTTGCACCAATCTAATAAAAACAAGCAGAGTTACCTAAGGTCATGCATCAATTAAGTAATGGAATGGAATTTGAACCCAGGTCTGCGGAATCTGAATTTGTGCTTTCAGTCATTTTCATTTAAGTCCATTCTTGCTAATACTTCATCAGCAGCAGCATTAATCAGAGTGTGGTGTTTTCCGTACTTATAAGGTCCTGTCTTCATTTCCACCCACCCCTTCTTGGATTATATGGACATAACACTCTTTTGCATGATGTTCCAACCCTAAAGGTGAGTGAAAAGCAAAGGAGTCTGTAACTCCCCTGGACCCAGGATCAAATTGAAATGAGATGGTTTGATTGGAGTCAGTATTAACTTGACCCAATTAGGAAGTCAGGTATAACCTGGGGGGAGATTAAGCCCAGAAAGGAGGTGCCAGCTTTCTGCCTTCCTTGCCAGATGGCAGGTGAGCGTCTGTGTTTATATAATCAATGCCCACACACCCAGCTGTGGCTTCTAACTCAGAATTATAGGAACACTGCAGGGACTCACAAACTATCTGGAGATCTAATTACTAGTTTCATAAGCCCAAAAGAGTGTCAACCACAGAAAGCAGCCAGGAGAGGGAAGGAAGAGAAATGCAAGTGCTGAGCAAGGCTGGGTTGTTAGTAAATGCTACATTCAGCACCTGTGGTATGGGCTGAGCCTGCCTGTCTCCAAGGAAAGCTGCCAAGCCCAAAGGCACTGGAGGAAGCTAGTTCTCGGGCAATGGGCCTCTTCCAGGAAGCAGGTCTCCAGATCATTACTGGGAGAAAGTCCCATGCTATTCATAAGAACCCTTCCCTGAATAAGAATGGCAGACTCTACTCCCCATGCCAGATGTCCCCAGAGGGAAGACTTACTAACTGGCCGTCTTATCATCCTTGTTTGTAGACCAGAGGTCCATGGTCTCCCTCCCAACAGTGATTTCCGGGTGCTGCTGTTTTGGGAGCAGAGACACTGATGCTCTTGGATCTCCACTTACCCTGGCAAAGGTCCGGAAGCCCTGGAGGATGGCTCTGTAGCCTGTACAGCGGCACAGATTTCCTGTGGGCCAAGGAAAAAGCGGCAATGTCAGTGCAGGCCAGTGGGATGGGTGAGGGGTTTGTGACTTTGCTCCCAACCTAGTTGGGTGCTCTCTTTACCAGGCTGCATTCTGTTACCTCTGTCTGGAAGGCCTCTTGACCTTCTCCTATCCTGACTTCAGAACATCTATCATGACTTCAGGGAGTCATTCCTAGAATGGATGCCTTCCTGGAATGCCCAGACTGAGTCAGGTGCCTCTCCCTAAGTGCTCCCACAGTGGCTGATCATAGCTTTACCAGTTAGCCTATTGGACCACATTATAAACTCTCTTCTTCTTCAGACTGTGAACTATTTGAGAGCAGAGATTGTGTCTTTCATCCCAAAATAACTGAATACATGATGGAAATGGTGAATAGATAGGGAGGCTTCTCTATTCAATTCAGAGAAACAAATACGTAGGTGGTCTTTGCCATGCAGAATCCTGTTTTGGTGGAAACTGAGAGGGAAGGAAGTCATATCATTAGCCCTGAGCAGTTTTCCAAAGTACGTCTTCCTGCACCAGCCATGCACTGCCAACCCCACTCCAATACTGGGGGAAGGCAGACAGACACCTTAGGAAGATGAACCCAAAGGCAGGAGACCCCAGGAGTTCTCCACAGCAACCAGAAGTTCTCCCAACTAAGAGAGGATTGGCTTTCTAGCAGATCTTAGCCACCACATTGTGGGGGTGGGGGGGAATGCTGAGTTCTTCCTACAAAGAGTCGTCCCTCATGCTCCTCTCCCTGGCACTTGTCCTGACCTCTGCAGGGCCTCGTTTGTCATTCCACCTCCTAGGCTGTGCCTGAAGACCCGTACCTTGGAAAGCATTCTCAATCTCCTCGATGGTGGGCTCAGGCTGATTCCGGAGCAGTGCATACATGCTCATGACGACACCGGGGGTGCAGAACCCACACTGGGAGCCATGGCTTTTGGCAATTCTCTCCTAAAAGGAACAGATGACATAAACACCTGGGATGTCAGAACCCTCCCAGGCTCCCCACAGGACTTGACTGAAGCCAGCCCATGTTGGAAGACAATGGCAGGGGTGGGGGTTAGCAGTCACTGCCCAGAGTCAAGCCCCAGTGTCATCATTTACCAATTGTGACCTTGGCTAGGTTCTCCCACCATCTGTATGATGAGGATCATCCTCGTCCTTACCTCTAGAGCTGTGATGAGGACTAACTGAGATAATTCATGTAAAACCCTTAACACTGTACCTGCATATAGCAGGCAGTCAGCCAATGTTAGCTATGACTAGGAAGGTCCTTTCAAAGAACAGTGACTATCAGAACCAGAAGGCAGCTGGGTGTGACATATGAGAGAAACACTCAAAGATGATGTCTAGATTTTTGTCTTGAGCAATTAGGTGGATGGCTTTGCCATTGACTCAGATGGAAGAAGACTGGGGAAGGAAGCCATTAGGAGAAGAGTAGGGTTTTCTTAAGTTTGAGATTAGACATCCGTATTGAGATGTCAAGTAGGCAACTAGAAAAGTAAGTCCAACTTCTGAGGAGAGGTCAAAGCTGAAGTTGTAAATACAGGTGCCATTGGCATGTGAACAACATCAAACTCATGCAGGGGGAGTGTATGGATGAAGAAGGAGAGGAGCCCAGCTCAGGGCTCAGGACACTGCAGCGACTAGAGACTGAGCAGAGAAGGAGCCAGCTTGGAGAGAGAAGGAAAAGCCAGAACCACAGTGTCACAGAAACCAAGTAAAGCAAATAAATGGACAAGAAGTGGAAACTGGCTCTGCAGCCTGTTTGTAGCCAAAATAAGAGCATTAGGAATAAGAACCTGTACCATTGGACAGGGAGGATCTTAGGCTGATTATACAGATATGACCTGATATGGTTTGACTGTATTCTCACCCAAATATCATCTTGAATTGTAGCTCCCATAACTCTCACATGTTGGGAGAGGGACCCTGTGGGAGATAACTGAATCATGGGGGTGGTTTCCCCCATCCCATTCTCATGGTAGTGAATAAGTCTTATGAGATCTGATGGGTTTCCATTTTTGCTTAGCTCTCATTTCTCTCTTGTTTAAGATGTGTAAGATGTGACTTTCAGCTTCTGCCATGTAAGATGTGACTTTCAGCTTCTGCCATGATTGTGTGGCCTCCCCAGCCACATGGAATTGAGTCCATTAAACCTCTTTTTCTTTAAAAATTACCCAGTCTTGGGTATGTCTTTATCAATAGTGTGAGAATGGACTAATACCTGACTCCTGTGTTTAAACTATTTATTCTTTCTTTCATTTGTTTGTTTCAAAGAAAATAACAAGCCTTAATTAACCCTCTCACATCTCTTTCATGTTGGACAAGTTTGGTAATTTCCCCTCTTCCTGCCTAAGAAACAAATCTATAGATGGGAAGCATTGCCACCCACACCTAGTTGACCTCACATGACTGGCCCAAGATGCCATTCCAAGGAATAGAATGAGCCACTCTGCAGGAGGATCTGGCTCCATGATGTCGTGAAAGATGCCCAAGGAAGACATGATTGCCTGAATGACATGTTTCCTCAAATAATCAAGGGAGAATTAAGACCTGGACCAAGGCCTGGTAACTGCTATTATAATCTCCCGAAGAGCCCAAGTTTCCTCAAACAAAATGCTTTGGGGACAATGGCTTTTCCTTCCAACAGGGCTCTACTCCTCTTTCTTTCCACTTGGCCTAAAAGCATCCTGATTCTGTCCCCAAACCCCCCAGATTATTACTGCCCACTCTTTCCAAAAGTGTTTCTGATTTCAATGCATTTTTAGGTGGTCTGATGCCATCAAGGAAAAAGCCTTGCTCCGGCATTTAATCTCTGTTATCTTATTTAGCACTTGTTAACCTCCATCTAATGAAGGTAAAGGCCTAGCAGTTCACATTTGTACTATCTGTGGGTGGAAGGTAAGGGATGCAGAATTACCATTGCAGGGAGTAGGTGGGCTTTTAAATAAGGGCACAGAGAATTAAAATTCAAATCTGGGAAGGCTGGCGGTTTTCTAAACACACTCTGGAACAAAGTGAGGAAGCTCCCCTGCATCTCTTCCTCCAAGTTCTAATGCAAATGGACTGGGCTAGCCACCAGATTCAGTTGACCTCTTTGGTCCCTTGAGACCATGCAATGTTATAACCAACCAGATCACAGGAAGGAGCTTCAGGCTTGGGTGTTTCTCCTTTTCACCTCACAGTACCCAGAGGAGATAAGGAGGTGGCCAGGGTGCAAAGCCTCCTTAAATTAAGCAATGACACTCTGCCCAACAACCCAAAGCAAGTCTGCAGCCTTGGGATAAGCCTCCCTGTAGAAGAAACAGCCAGGTCTTAAGAGCACAGCTCCCTTTCCTCTAGTTACCTGCACAGGATGCAGCCTTGTCTTGGTGCTTCCTATTCCTTCCACAGTTGTCACTGCCACATGGTGCAAGGAGCAGATGGGGGCCAGGCAGGCATTGGCAGGAAAGTGGCTAGAACCCAAGATTAAGGTCATTCCATTTATTGTCCACTCAGATCATTAGAATGGGCCTGACTGTGGGCTCTGGAGGACTTTGTGAGGCTTTATGTTATGTCTCCCTGCTCTCATTTATGTTCTTGTCTCTTCAACTGGTACCCTCACCTCTCCACTGAAGACTCTGGGCAAGGAACAAAGGAAGCTCTCCTTGTAGATAAAGCTGAGCCTCTTCAGAGTCCTGTGGAATCAGGCATCAGAACACCCTCAGCCTTTTGCTGCAACGAGGGAGCCAAGGTCACTTTCAGCTGCCTCTTACTCAGCCTGACCCTGGGGGCTGAATCAAGAGGAAGTTTCTCAGGCAAGCTGCAGTCTTTTTTTTTTTTTTTTTTTTTTGAGACGGAGTTTCGCTCTTGTTACCCAGGCTGGAGTGCAATGGCGCGATCTCGGCTCACTGCAACCTCCGTATCCTGGGTTCAGGCAATTCTCCTGCCTCAGCCTCCTGAGTAGCTGGCTTTACAGGCACACGCCACCATGCCCAGCTAATGTTTTTTGTATTTTTAATAGAGACGGGGTTTCACCATGCTGACCAGAATGGTCTCGATCTCTTGACCTCGTGATCCACCCGCCTCGGCCTCCCAAAGTCCTGGGATTACAGGCTTGAGCCACCGCGCCCGGCCGCTGCAGTCTTGAAGCATGCTCCTGCTTACAGGGCTCTTCCTTAGTCTCAGTGTCAGAACCTCCAATCACTTTGCTTCCCTGCTTTTCCTCACCTCTATTGCTTTCATTCCTCTGTGCGGAAACAGAGAAGAAATCCCCAGACAACATGAGACACCAACCCCTTAGCTAGAACTTCCTTGCATTCTTCTCTTATTCATCACTCATTCACTTACAATCAACATCAGCTACTGAGTGCCAACCATATGCCAGGCACTCTGCTGAGGACTGGGGAAATGAAAATGAATAAGATGAAAGCTCTGCCCTTCAATAGCTTGCAGTCAACCGAGAAAACTGAAGCCCATGTGAAGGTGCAATTTAAATCATGTTAAAGTAAATTAAAATGGAGACCAGGTCTGAAGAATCTGTCAGCAGACAAAATCAGTTAGGCCTCATAAGTGACCTAAACTCCACTTGATTTTCAGGAGAAACTTAACTTGAGCTACTTCTTATGAATATCTTTATAAAAAAAAGAACTAAGCCTTAAGATATCAATCAATCAGAAGTAGTCAACAAACTTATAATTATAGAACTACGGACTTTCCAATGGGATAGACCAAATAAGGCAACTGTAGAATTGTAACCAATCAAATAATTTCTTTGCTTTATGCCTGTGTCTGTCCTACAAAAACCTCCTACTTGCATTTCCCTGGTGGAGTTCCTGGACTGCTTCTAATTTGGAGCTGCTTGACTCATGAACTGTTGTTTTCCCAAAAAACCTTAAAAAAAAAAAAATTGTATCATGCCTCAGTTTACCTTGGGAAGGTTGTGCATAGGGCACTATGGAACCAACACAGACAAGGGGCACCTAACCCAGTCTTGAGAGATCAAGGATGGCTTCCTAGAGGTGGTGGTATTTTTGCCCAATTCTAACTAGCTAGTAAAAGTTAACTGGTGGAGAAACCCTAGGAGAACTTCAGGACTTGGGAAACAGCTTAAACAAAGACCAAGCAATTAATGGACCTGTATCATTGGTATTTCACAATGATCTCTGCTTAAGTGGCATGCTGGTCCCATGCTGAGAAAGAAAACTGGAGAAGAAACCTGGGGCATACTGTGCAGGGCTTTACTACTAAGCAAAGAGACTTTGTCCTAGGGGCAATGAAGAACTATTGAAGGATTTTATGGAATGCGATATAAACCTGGACTTTAGAAAAGTCATTTTATCAGCAGTTTGGAGGCTGGTCAATATTATAAGCCTAGCACATACTTGCTAAGAGATCATTCTACAATTTTTCTGTCCACAGATTCTCCTTAAAAATAGGGGCTCACACACATGTGCACATGCACACACATATACTCATGTACTCCCTCACAAGCTGGTCCTGCATTGCAACCCTCACATGGGCAGTCAGCCAGCAGGCAAAGGATACACAATCTTGTTCTGCATATGGTCATACTTGGAGAGCATCACTGTGCAGGCCCCGCAGCCCCCCTCTCCACAGCCGAGCTTGGTTCCACTCAGCCCCACTGGGTAGTCAACAGTTAAGGAGAATGAACTCAGGGAGAGGAGTCTGCTGGGCTGCTAGGAAATGCCTGGGAAGAGCCATGTGGGTAGAGCCATTCATTCCCACATGGGCTCAGGTCCCTCAACCCAGGAAGACAGCAGCCCCACAGGCCTCCTTATTCAGAGGGGCTACACTGCACTCCAGGGAGGTAGGAAACAGAGCCATATCCACTGCACAGAAGAGCAAAGGCATCAAGATCCCTCGATAGCACCCAAGTAGCATCTCTTGGGACATGAGTTCTAGGGTTGGTCAGTCCTAGAGCCTTCTCTTGGTGTTGAGGTCTTCTATGAGGGAGGACACGGCACAGTTGTCACATAGACATTGATCTGTTTTGTAACCTCTAAGTTCTTGCTTTTCACTCTGAACTTTTTGGGCTGATAAATCCCAAAGAATCAAAATTAGAGCTAGACCAGAGGCTTTCGAATATTTGACCCAGGAAATATGTGAATGAAAATAAAAATAGTGATTTTTTTTTTTTAAGTCAGGGACCAATACTGGGCCACACTCTTACATATACTTGCAGAAAGATCATCTGCTACTTTGAGTTTTTAAAGTGCCTAACTAGTATGCTATTCTAGAGAAGAGCTATTGTGGAGGTCACTTTCCCTGAGTCACATGGGCTCCAATGCTGCTTCTCACTCAGACCTGCAGGCCTCTAAGCCACCCACCACTACTGAGGATGGAGGGAACCGACGGTATTGTCACCTGGTCACTTCTCTTATTTTCAACACAAGATTTAAAGACAATGATATAACATCTTACATTTGAAAAGCACTTGTACCTAGATATCTGTTTGACCTTCAGAATGATTTGGTTAGCAGATAGGAAAGAAACTTCCTCACAGATTTAAAAAAGCAACAAACTGAGATCCAAGAGGTAACGTGGGCCACACAAGATGACACAGGAACTCATGTTTCCCTGCTGGTGTGGGCCCCATCACAGCCATCTGACTCCAGGTAGGGTGTGTTCCCTTCACCATGCCCCTTCCTTCCCAGCACACCTGGGGAGGCTTTCTGTGTCCTAGTCAGGATATATGCAGCTATCAGCAGGTTAAACAACTCTGGGGACACCTGAAGATAAATGGTGGCTGGCAGTCCAAAGTCTAGCAAGGTCTTCTTCCAGCCTGGAGATCTTCCTGGAAGCTAGGGTAAAAGTCAAGACTGGGGTTTCCTCCGACACCTGGAACTCCTATAAATTGACTCTGAGCACAGATAATAATAAGCTGCAAGGATATCTATTTATGTGCCAACTTCCAGTTTTGCTTTTCATTTGAGATGTGACATGCCCAATTGCTATGATAAGGAATTTCTGAGGCTTCTGGGCCTTCAAAACTACAATGGAAATGATTAAAAATCTAAAATTAGTTGTATTATTAGAAAGCTAAAATTGATCTCAATAATCCTGAGAATGAGCTTCTCTTCCCAGACCTCTCAGGTAGATAGGCTGGAAATGGAGTTCCATGCATTCACCTGATCCAATGCAGTGACACTTTCATTCCCCAACACCACCAGGTTTATCTTCTGTGAACCTCCAGACATACCCACTTGAGATCAAATATCCAGAACAAATTACAGCAAAGCCAACCACAGTACTGTCTGATAGGAGGGGAGCAAACCAGAGTGAAGGCCATGGGCTCCAGCTCACTTCTGTGGGTGCTGAAATAATCCTTGCTGTCCCCAAATGTGTCACCAGAAAGACCCACTAGACACACCCCTGGGAGAAGGGGGGTTTTGTTGCAGAGGTCAGGATGAGCATAGGCCTGCCGACAGGTCCTCGGGAGAGTTTCCAGTGCAGGTCAGAGGTTAGGAATATGGCTCTAGGCTTCAGTGCAGGTTCTGTCACTATTTGCCCAGAACACACTAGCAAAAGGCAGGTTATGTCACACACCAAGGCTTCGGTTCCTCCTCTGTGAAAAGGGAGTGTTATACTTCCATGGGATTCCTGCAGAGATTGAGGTGAGCTACACAAATCACTTTGAATACTGCCTGTATATAGGAAGTGCTCATTAAATGTTAACTCCAATTATTATTATTGTTTTAGTTCCAGGGTCTCAGAATACTTCCAATACTCAGAACTAATGGTATAGGGGCTCTTCCAGAAGCCCTCCCACATTGAGTGAAGAGCAGCACCCTCTAGGGAGTTCCCCCACCCTCCATGGCTCCCCATTTGTTGTTTTTACGGTGAATGCTACCTCTAAGGTATTCCTATCTCAGGCATCCTTTTCCCAATAGACACACCTTCCCTTGCTTCCCTCCACCTAGACAGAGCTGGAAACATTCCCCAGGAACTCCATTTATGTATTAAGCAAACGTCACCTAAGGAAGGCCCCCTCTTACCACAGACAAATGACCATAAAGCTCACCAAGGCTAATGAGGGCCTTTCTACAGGCCCTGGATTAAACCTTGGCATTACTAGAGTCTTAGCTGGGAGACACCTCAAAGATCCTCACAAACAGTCCTCTCATTCAGTAGCTGAGAGTTTCAGATTACAGCTGCAAATAAAATGCAAGTATCCCACGTCCTAATCCAGCGCTCTTTCCTGCACACCTCATGGGCACCCCACCGGTCACTAGGAAACGTGAGGCCTAGAGAATCAGTCACCATCATGCCCCTCCTCCATCACTCCCACTCTAAAGTCAGGATACACTTTCTTCTCAGGTAGACCAAAAGGGTTGTTTCTGGATCTGCATTTCTCTCCACCACCTATTAAAAGAAATGAAAGAAAAATATGACATAGGTATACTTAGTCATCCTTCTGCAATAAATTTCTTCCTTCAGTGTCTCACTCAAAAATTTGTAGAGTTGGTGGGATGGGTGATATAGTTTGGATGGTGCCCCTCTAAATCTCATGTTTCATTGTAATCCCCAATGTTGAAGGTAGGGCCTAGTGGGAGATGATATGATCATGGGGGCAGATTTCTCATTAGTGGCTTAGTGCTATCCCCTTAGTAAGAATGAGTTCTCACAAGATCTTTGAAAGTGTGTGGCCTCGCCCCCTTCACTCTCTCTTGCTCCTGCTCTGGCCATGTCATGTGCCTGCTCCCACTTTGCCTTCTGCCATGAGTATAAGCTCCCTGAGGCCTCCCCAGAAGCTGAGCACATGCTGCTGCCATGCTTGTACAGCCTTCAGAACTGCAAGCCAATTAAGTCTCTTTTATTATAAATTATCCAGCTTTGGGTGTTTACAGCACTGCATGAATGGCCTAATACAAAGTGCTGAATAGATCATGAAAAATAAGGTATTAAAAAAAAAAAAAGATTTATAAGGTATTTTTATCCTCAATTCCATAAGAATGAATCTATAAACTACAGCCAGGCTATGTGTATGCTCAAATCCTCAAATTTTAAAATTCTATCTCAGTGTTCAGCTTGGAACCCACCATAGAACACACAGGCATTGCACCTTCCATGCTGGGTCGACCAAGGCAAAGTCCCCTTCAAATCAAACCTGTCATCTCATTTCAACTGCTAGGTCACACCTGTGCATTCTTGGGACCTCAGAGAGCATGGCATATAAATCTCTGGCTTTGCCTCTTTGAATATACACTCTCAGACCCTGCATATGACTGTGGAAAGCCAGTCTGTTGGCCTGTGCTCAGAGCAGAGTGTTACATGTGATGGGTATTAGTCAACACTAACACATGTCAGCAATGGAAGAGAAATCTTAAACTAAAGATCCATCACTAGGTTCAATAAGGTGGAAAGAGTGGTCTAGAAAGTGCTATGTCAGTTTCTACTGTGAATCGTCAAAGGAAATCTATGAAAACCCATTTCTGTACTCCTCACACATTACCAAAGCTTAAAAGGGTGTGGATTATTGAAATAATAAAGGGAAAGAAATCATGATAAGGTTTTCTTTAGAGGGAACTATACTACTCACACCTTCCTAAAGGAGAAACGGAAGAGTATCTGCTTCCTACCTCAAACTTAGTGAGGGGGCTTGCTTTGTGCTACATAGAAAGCTAACGTGCCACCTTTGCAGCATAGAGGAAGATATAGACTTAACATGAAATTAATAACTGACAATGACAAGTTTAAACTCCTTTTTAAACCTAAGTTGGAGAAGCAGCTGTGCTGGGTTGGTGCATACCCCCAGAGCTTGGTAGAGCAAAGAATGTGGAAGTGTTGGCTGTGGATGTAATGCAGGCCATTCATGAGATAAAAAGAGATGGCTTGGAGGTCTTTCAATCATTTCCCAAAATATAGGAAGGAGCCTTCAGTAGAGAGAGACTCTATGAAGTGGACTTCCCAAAACTGGAGGCTGATGGAGAACAGCAGCCTAAGAAAAGTGCATCACTCATGTCATGAGACATGCATGCAAATATTCCCTGTGGTGGCCCTTGAAGATCCTTGAAAGCCATCACAGAAGGAATGAAAGAGTCATCTCTAAACACCTTAAAGGCTCAGAAAGCCAGAAGCTATCTTACAACAGTACCAATTAGAGAGCTTCTTACTGTCCTCACCACACCATCCTGAATTGAGACTGTTTGGCAACTTAAAAATAACTGTAAGATTTTTTTATTGACTAAAAGTAACAAAAAGTTCATGAAACTGCTAGAATTTGCCATTTGAATAAGTTTAAAGGAAAGTAGATAAAATTAATTTTCTAATATGATTATACCCCATGAGTCCAGCTCCCTGAATATCCTGGTTACAAATCATAGAAGAAATCATAGACGCACAAAATAGCAATCTTTATCCCCTTTCTTATAGACCACAGTAAGAGGCTGTTAGCTTACTACCACATTGTTTGTTTCTCCTGTACTGCAGTTCTGTTTTTATCACATCACATCAGTTCCCAGCTAGCTCAATGCCTTTCATGACCACCCACAAAGTCAAGGTAACATCCAAGTTCCTTAGGCTGTCTTTCAAGGCACTTTTCAATATATTCCCAATCTTCATTTTCAGTCTTTTTCCATTCTACTTCTCTGCCAAGCTGGTCATCTTACTTCACTGATAATACATTTTATATCTTCTAACTCCTGTGCCTTTGATCCTGCCATTCCTCTTCCACCTGTATCTTGGCTTATCAGAAGACCTCAAACAATTTCTTAGTAAAGACTTTCCATATCACCTCAGCCACAAGTGGATTGCTGTAGAGAAGGTTGTGCTACTCTCAAGGTGTGGCAGCAGGATTACCAAGGTACACTCCATTGAACACTCTCAACAGGATACTAATGAGTATCCCAAGGAAAAAACATTTTGTAGGCAAGTGAATTTAGGAAATGTTGAGTTAAGCAGATTGCTCTGGTAAAAATCGAGCATCAAAAGAAATAACAGCCATAATGGGCTATATTGCATTAAATATAATTAAAATCTATGAGTCCAAACTGATAGTCAACAAACAAACAAACAGAAGATACAGAAAAACTCTTCCTGACAGAAGAATGTCATCTAATAAATATGATTGGCCATCTTGTAATCAGCACAATAATTGATCCAGTTAAGAATCATCAATAGAAATTAGTACAACCACTATGGAGAGCAGTTTGGAGGTTTCCCAAAAAACTAAGAGTACAGTTATCACACGATCCAGCAATCCCAGTGCTGGGTATATACACAATAGAAAGGAAGTCAGTATATAAAAGGGATATCTGCACTCCTGTGTTTTTTGCAACACTATTCACAACAGCCAACATTTGGAAGCAACCCCGGTGTCCATGAACAGATGAATGGATTTAAAAAATGTAGTACATATACACACTGGAGTGCTATTCAGCCATAAAAAAGAATGAGATCCTGTCATTTGCAACAACATGGACGAATGGAACTGGAGGTCGTTACGTTAACTGAAATAAGTAAGGCACAGAAAGACAAACTTCACCTGTTCTCACTTATTTATGGGAGCTAAAAATCAAAACAATTGAACTCATGGAGACAGAGTAGAAGGATGGTGTCAGAGGCTGGGAAGAGTAGCAGGAGGCAGGAGGAAAGTAGGGATGGCCAAAGGGTACAAAAAATAGAAAGAATGAATAACACCTAGTGTTTGATACAACAGAGTAACTATAGTCAATAATAATTTAATTATGCATTTAAAAATAACAAGTATAATTGGATCATTTATAACAAAGTATAAGTGCTTCAGGAGATGAATATCACATTTTCTATCATGTAATTATTACACATTACATGCCAACATCAAAGTATCTCATGTACCCCATAAATAGGTAGATCTACTATGTACCCCCAAAAATTAAAAATTAAGGGGATTTCCATCTCCCCTTCTTTCTCTTTTCTTCTGGTTTTTATGTAAATGTTGCAGTGAGACATCAATGACTGTGAGAACAAGTGTAATACAGAACTCTCAAAACTCAGCAACTACAAAACCCAAATCAAAAATGGGCAAAGGACTTGAATAGGCATTTCTCCAAAGAAGATATACAAATGGCCAACAAGTAAATGAAAAAATGCTGAACATCACTAATCAAAACTATAATGAGATTCCACCTCATACTTGTTAGGATGACTATGATCAACAAACAAACAGAAAATAAGTGTTGGTAAGGATGTGGAGAAACTAGAACACTTGTGCACTGTTGGTGGGAATGCCAAATGATACAGTCACTGTGGGAAAATAGTATGACGGTTCCAAAAAAAGGTAAAAATAGAACTAGCATATAATCCAGCAATTCCACTTCTGAATTTATACCCAAAATAATAGAAATCAGGGTCTCAGATATCTGTACACCCAAGTTCATGGCAACGCTACTCACAGTAGCCAAAATGTGAAGGCAACCAAAGTGTCTGTCAACAGACGAATCAATAAGCAAAATGGGGTACATCCCATACAATGGAATATTATCCAGCCTCAGAAAGGAAGAAATTTTTAACACATGCTACAACAGAGATGAACATTATGCTAAATAAAATAAGCTGGTCACAAAAAGACATGCTGTATGATTCCACTTAAATGAGGTACTTTGTCAAATTCATAGACACAGAAAAAATGATGGTTTCCAGGGGCTGCAGGGAAGGTAGAATAGGAAGTTGTTATGAATGTATGTAATACCACTGAACTGTACACTTAAAAATGATTCAGATGGTAAATTTCATATATGTTACCACAATAAAAAATATTTTGAAAAGAATATCAATGGATACTCAAACTAGTGGGTAAAAATTTGATGAACAAGAATTTGTATCATCCCAAAGTATCTTCTCACATAGTCTGTATTAATTATAAAGGTAAAGATAACTTTTCTTACAGTGAAGAAACTTGGTGAATAACACCTAGCCAAGTCATCAAAGTTTGCATCACAAAAAAGACCCAAAAATTGATGTTTAAAAAAATCCAAAAAACCTAATGATTGAATGCACTGAGAAAGACACATTACTTCTGTGGTATACCTGCCCTCCAAATGTAGACTCTCACTCTAATTATAAAAAAGCATAACACAACTCAATATGAAGAGCATTCTAAAAAATAATGGACCTGTTCTTTACAGAAACACTTATGTCATGAAAGACAAGGGAAAGCTGAGGAGCTGTTCTAGATTAAAGAAGACTAAAGAGACACGACAACCAACTGCAAGGCATAAGGCTGGATTCCGGGCCGGGGCTGGAGAGTTATAAATGCCAGTGTTGGAAAAACTGAAATACATTTGCATAAAGCTAAGTTTCCTGATTTCTATAAATGGACTACAGTTTTGTTAGAATGTGTCTATTCTTAGGATAAGAGGTAAAGGAACATGATGTCTGAAACTTACTGTCAAATGGTTCAGAAAGAATATCTTATACTGTATATTCATTTATATCAATTATGTACATTAATACATAAAATTATTTATGTAATTATAATACATACATGTGTATCTGGGTGTCCAGAGTGAGAAAGAGAGAATAATAAAGCAAATGTGGCAAAATGTTAACAGCTGCTGAAATACATAAAGGGTATTTAATATTTCCTTGTATTCTTATAATTTTTTAAAATATAAAATAATTGTTAAACACAAAGTTAGAGAAGGAATTTACTTAGTACAGGATTTCTCAAAGTTTTTAAAATTCATTCACTTATTCCATCCACATTAGTTGGACACCTACTGTATACCAAGCACTGTGCTAAGTGGTTTAAGAATATCCAAGAAGAGCATCTCATCCCTCTAGTTTTCTGTGAAATACATTTCAGAATATATTACTTTGTCTAATTATAAATCATCTCTCCAACTAGCCTATAGGCTCCAAAATGGCAAAATGCCTGGTCTTAAAGATCATATTCCTCTAGTGTGTGTGCCATTGTCTGAGGCCTCAGAAGGAGCTTGATAAATGTTGACTATCTGGAGAGTGGGCAAGTGAATGATGAGTCAGTGAGTGAAAGTCACTATGAAGCTCTCTGTAGCTGACACTCACTTCTTGTGGGGATCACTCCTAGGCACCTTCAGTCACACCCTACCTGCCAAATCCTCCCAGATTCCTCCAGGTGCCACAATCTCCACTAGACAGAAAGTGACTACGCAGAAAAGATAGAATGCTGCCTTCGAAAAGGGCTGTCATTACAATAATAATAAAATACTGGACAGCTCCATTCCTTTGACTCTGACTCCAGAACAAAGAAGATGTGAAAACAGTAGTCATCAAGGCCGATCACCACCACAGAAGGCCCTAGAAGTGTTTAACTTTTTGCATCTAACACCTTCTGCAGGATCCCAGTTAGTGAAGACAGAATCCTTGACAGTGGTACAAAACAAGGAGAGGCGGAGGCTCAGATTTAAGAATGAGTCACTAAGTTCTTACGGCTTCTTTGATAACTACTTTGCACAATTCCTATAACAAAAGGTCTATAACATCTTGCGAATAAAAATGGGGAGAAACTTTCTCACAGCTGCCATTGCTTGCCCAGGAATTCTCTTGCTTGGTCTTGTTTTTATAGCATTGCTTTCACATGATTACTTTCTGCATTGCCCCTCCCTTTCCTGCAGTTTCTGAAGATGCTATGTCTTTATAAATTACAAACATGGATATTCATCACAGAAACTGTCAGTAGTAGAAGCTTCTAAAAATAATAGGGTTAGATGTGATGGTGCCATCTAAAAATTTAAAATTATTTTCCTAAAGTGAAAGTAAAATGCACGGGAAAATAATTTTCTCCAAGCCAGATTTACCGTGAAATGCCTCTTTCTAGATTTAACGCATAACAGCAAGCCATTCCTAAAGAGCAGAAACTTACACTTTCACACCTGAACCAATGGTTTGGTTTAATAAATAATAAAATCTTAGAGTAAGATATGACCTTGGAAGTAATTGAATCCAGCTGTTTACCCAATGTAAAAATTACTAATACAAATTCCAGAGATGTCTTTGTGTAAGTAGCTCTCCTAGAAAGCCAGTTGCACAATGGTTTCCTAAGTTTCTACAATGTAATTGCTGAATCAAAGAAGTTCTTTGAAATGTTGGATGCAAAATCTTACTACCATCAACCTGAAAGCTTTGCCAGACTTCTTGGGTTGGTGCCAGGCTCCAACTCTGAAAAGGATGCAGCTCATAGAGGCAACTCTGAACCCAGAAGAATGTGGGTGATCCCGTTCCCCAGCACCCCCCAATGGCACCACTCAAATGGAACCCATCAATCTTTGGAGTACTGATGTTGAAACAGCTCATGAAATTTATTTTACAGTCACCGAAACACATCCTGGAAATTTCAGACCTGGGAGTCCTGTGGAGCATGTTATTGTTCTTGAAAATTACACCAAAAGTCACTCAAAATTACATCAAAAATTTCTCAATTAAATGCAAAAGTGCCAACATAGCAAGACAAATAAAATTGCCCTTCTTTGGAGGCACACTGGGCACATTCATCACACACTGTCCACCCAGCCAGTTACAATGTGCTGGGCAAACATACCCCCCCACCCCATACACACATACAGAGGCCAGAATTCACTCTAGTCTACTCTTTCACCATCCTTTTCATTCCCAAGTGGGGAGTTGAACAGGTGTGAGCATCTCAGTTTTAGGAAGGCAAATGGAGGCTGGAGACCATGTAATATGCTTGCTCCCTCTCTCCCTGCACCACATTATTTACAAAGATTCTCACCCTTGTCCAAGGGCTGGTACCTGTGTCACCTTCTCTAAGTCTCTGTGCATCAATAAAGTAAATTCAAGTAGGTAAGAGATTTGCAACTTACATAAGTAGAACTAAGCGTGGGGGGATGGAGAGTGGGGGGAATGCGGGAGATGCCCTTTATGAAAAAAAAAAAAAATTGTGGCTTGCCACAAGGTGTCAGTATACTTCCCCATACCCTGAATCAGGACTGGCTGCTATACCTGCTACACCACCGCCCCCACCCCCCCCCCACACACACACACACGAGCGCGCGCGCACGCACACATATAGTATATTAGATTCAAAGGCTGTGTACATCTTATATCCTGATATTAGCAAGAAAATACATTCCTGTTCCTTCTCTCTGTAAAGAGAGCAACATAAATATTAGGATATATTTGATTAAACACAGGAATCAAAGTGTGGTGATGGCCTCAAATCTCACCTAGAACCCAACTCCCCTTTCTCATTCTGTGCCAGTCTCCACTACTGCAGAGAATTGGCAGCTAGCTCACAGATGCCTCTCTTCTTGCCTCTCTCTCCTTTATTCCTTTGCCCTCTGAGTATCTTGTCTATACTCTAGTCCTGAGAAAGTCTTCTTCCCCACTGTTACCAAAATGCAGCAACACCCTTGAAGGGAGAGAGAGAAACACAGGAGAACAAGTAAAAGGGGCAGGAAAGAGAGAGAACCAGATACGACTGTTTCAGAAGACACATGTCCCCTAGTGGGAGCAGGGACACCAGACCAAAGGTCAGATCCTACTTACCTTTCTGCCATTCACAAAGAAAATCAACTCATCCGCTGTCATTGTCACAAGTTGGGGTCCCTGAACTCCAGATACCTCACTCCTAAAAGACACTGGCAGGTAATTATCACTGCTCTGCAACCTGAACAATACGCCTCCCAATAAAATAAAATGAGGTCCAATGGGAGGGAACCAGCTTGGAGCTTCAGGGCACAAAGTTCTTGGCAAAAGCCACTGGCTTACGTAATAAAGGAAAGCACAAACAATCAGACACAGCAAATTATAATCTCCACACCTATGTCAAAGAGCACAGGAAAATACATCCATATATCAGCAGAGTCATTGTCTTGGCGCCAGGTGACTGTGGGCCTTGGACATTGCTTTTATGGAAACTGCTTCGTCCTCCCACTTGCAGCAAGACAGAGAGGGGGAAGACAGGGGAGGGGAAGGACCATTGTCAGAATCACTGCTAATAGGGCTGATTCACACCCTCCGGGTCTACACTTGTCATTTCACCATTCAAATTTACAGCAACACAAACTGAGTGCATGAATGCAAGAGTCATTCTTTCACAGCCTGGTGGAGTAGAGGGGTCACAAGATGTAGAACGCAGCGACCCCGACTCAAATCCTGGTATCTGACCTCAGCATGTTACTTATTACCTTCAGAACTCAGTTGTTTTCATCCTGTACAGGATCATAGAAGGACAGAAAGAATAGGAGGCTGAGGGACAAATGACATTTTGAAAGTGCCTTGTAAATTTGCAAAGAACCAAACAAAACATTTATTACTGTTGCAAAGACATCTTCAACAACTCAACAAATATAATCCTAATAGCGAGCTATTTTTGAGGTTTGTCTTTTGTTTCTCTCAGGAAAATATCCTTGACAAGTTGTCAGAGTAACTCATAAAAGTATTTCAAAACACCAAAGAAATTAAAATGTTTATACCACATAGTCAGAGGCTATAGTAACACATAGCTGAAAACCTTTCCTCATCCAATATTCATTAACTCCCAGTACAAACACAGATGTGCATGTCCACTGGAGCAGCACTAATAGGCTCTCTGCAGTCCAGCACCCTCCCAACTGCTCCTGCTAGCTCCTTAGTTCAACATACACCCACTCCCACACACATACACGCACACAGAGGCCAGCATTCACTGTGGTCTTCTTCTCTCCTGTAATGACCCATATAGTCACTCAGTTACCCTTCCTTAACTAGGGCACCTCCCCTACAACCCTAGCAGCTACCTGAGGGGGAAGAAAGGAGTATTAGGCAGATGTACTTGGTACAGTAACAGCTTAGAGAAACTGAAGACTGCCAGGTTTACCATGAAATCGACACAATGCCTCCTCCCACCACAGCCTTAATTTAAGCAGGAGATAAAACCTTTACTTGCTGGTTGACCAAATATCCCAGTTTGCCCTGGACTATCCTAGTTTTAGCCTGGAATCCCTGACAAATGCCTCAGAGATTCTAGCAAATCCTTCAATCCAAGGCAAACTGAGATGACTGGTCACTATAAAACTGGTTGTTGGCAGGGTGCCGTGGCTCATGTCTGTAACCCAGCACTTTGGGAGGCCAAGGTGGATGGATCACCTGAGGTCAGGAGTTCATGACCAGCCTGGCCAACATGGTGAAACTCCATCTCTACTAAAAATACAAAAAATTAGCCAGGAGTAGTGGCCCTCCTCTACTCTGGAGACTGAGGCAGAAGAATTGCTTAAACCCAGGAGGTGGAAATTTGCAGTGAGTTGAGATGGCACCACTCCACTCCAGCCTGGACAACAGAATTTTGAAACTCCATCTCAAAAACATGACAAAAACAAAACTGATTGCTAAATCTGGGAGATTCCCTACTCCAGAAGCCATTTGGCAATGTCTGGGGATATATTTTGTGACAATTGAAGAGGGATGCTACTGGCATTTAATGGATGGAGGCCAGTAATACCACTAAACATCCTAAAAACCACAAGAAAACCCCACCCAAATAAAATGAACAACAATGAATTAGTCTTCCTAAAATGTCAATAGAACCAAGCTGGAGAAATTCTGCCCTAAAAGAAAGAAGGAAGGACTTGGGGAGAGAGATAGGGGCTGAGTCTGGGGCATGTTTTGTAATTAGTCAATTATTTCAAACCCTCACACCTTTTTGATTGAGAGGCTTTTCCTCTATGCACTAATATACCCAGTTTAACAAGCCCTCCCCTTCCTCCAAGGCAGTCCCCAGCCAATATCCCAGGAAAATCTAAAGGGAAGGGCTGAGGAAAGAGCTCGGGCTTCGAATTCATGCCCTTGCCCTCTGTGCCCTGGCTGTGTCTCTAGCTCCCTTTAGAAGTCACTGCTGGCCTTTATTCTGCCTCTGCAGCAGCTTCTTCCCCAGTCTGCTCCGTCCATTTATTTATTTATTTGAGATAGAGTCCCACTCTGTTGCTCAGGCTGGAGTGAAGTGGTGCAGTCTCGGCTCACTGCAACCTCTGCCTCCTGGGCTCCATGTTCTGTCCTTTTCATTTCAACCAGATGTACATTCTTGCCTGTGACCGAAGGGCATCCTTGTTCATTTTCTTTATTTACAACAAAGTTTACTTTAAGAGAAAGAAAAATATTTCAATATATTCCATTGTTCAGATTTTTTTTAACCAAGACTGGTTTCACTCCTACATATGCTCCACTCTGGATGAAAGATTTTTGCCATATTCTCAGAACATCACTACCCAACACCCAATACTCCTTTGTTCTCTCAGACATTCTAATAATATTAACTAATCCTAGGCTATGTGCGGTGGCTCATGCCTGTAATCCCAGCACTTTGGGAGGCCGAGGCTGGTGGATCACGAGATCAAGAGATCCAGACTATCCTGGCCAACATGGTGAAACCCCATCTCTACTAAAAATACAAAAAATTAGCTGGGCATGGTGGTGTGTGCCTGTAATCCCAGCTACTCTGGAGGCTGAGGCAGGAGAATTGCTTGAACCCAGGAGGCGGAGGTTGCAGTGAGCTAAGATTGTGCCACTGTACTCCAGCCTGGTACCTACAAAAAAAAAATAGTTAACTAATCCTAATAATAGTTCTTGACATATGAATAACATTTCCTTCACACAACTTGATTTCATTTGATCCTTGTAATGGCCCTGTGAGGTAAGTAAGGAAGTTATTATTATCTGCCCTTTTCAGACAAAGCAAGTGAGGGTCAGAGAGGTTGACTTGCCAACTGCTGCATGGCAAGCAAATGCCAGCTTCTACAACTGTCACCCATTTCCAGCAGAAAAAGTATCTCTTTGATGGTTCTTCACTAGTAAAACCAGGATTGTTAGCATAGCACTTATGGCCCTTCTTAGTCTGGCTTAAATCCAGCCTTCTGGTTGATAAAGTGTCTTTCTCTCATGCCTAGAGAGTGGGTCCCTGAGATTAGGAGCAGAGCTGTGTTTACCACTGTTTCACTGGTGCCTAGAATAGAGCCAGGTCTATAGAAGTATCAAAAAAAAAAAAAATGCTTGTTGAATTGTATCCACAATGCAAGGGATAAGCTATGTTTTCACAAATATCTAAGCACCTGCCTTTTACTAAGCACAGCAGTTTCTTCCATCATTTCATATATTCTTAGCATCATTTAACTTCCTTTATCAGTTCCTTTCTAACTAAACTTTTATTAGTTAACTAGTTAGTATTCCTTAAGATAAAGGCCACATTACTTTATTAGTATTGAGGAAATCGATCAATCATATACACATCTGGGAGAATCCTCTTATAATCAGGAAGACAGGATTATCAAAAAATGGACTCAGAGGTCTTTTATAGGGACATAGATGAATCTGGAAACCATCATTCTCAGCAAATTGACACAAGAACAGAAAATCAAACACCGCATGTTCTCATTCATAGGTGGGTATTGAACAAATGAGAACATGTGGACACAGGTAGCGGAGCATCATACACTGGGGTCTGTTGGGGGGCTACAGGATGGACAGTTGGGGGGTGAGGGAGGGATAATGGGGGGAGAAATGTCAGGTATAGGTGATGAGGGGATGGAGGCAGCAAACCACCTTGCCATGTATGCACCTATGCAACAATCCTGCATGATCTGATAATGTACCCCAGAGCCTAAAGTACAATAAATAAATTTTAAAAAAAGAAATAAAGAAAAGAAAAAGAAAGGTGGGAGTGATTGCTGGTTATTTTCTGGTACTCATCTTCCTCTTCTTCTCTAATATAAGAATTTTTAGTAGAGAAAAAAAAATGGACACAGAGTCAAAACTGAAAGCATATAAACTTCAGCCTGGGTCTTCACTGTAAATACACAAAGGCCCAGGGAATAGAAAAGGCCCAGAAGCAAATGTAAACTCACTTTAATCTGTCTGCATCATCCTTATGATTTTTATAATTTTTTTTTCACCCAATAAACTCTGTCACCCCAGAGTTGTGTGTGGCAATGACCATGTGGGTTTGGTGGCTAGCTGGACACAAAGTTAAGTTTCTCTTTCCAATCTGAGCTGCGCTTGTGCAATTTTGAAAGAAAGTCCTTACCTCTTCACTTATACAAGGATCAGCTCACATGTGATCTGTAGACAATATAAACCAATGAATAGCCACTGGGGGAAAATTATTACCACAACTATTTGCACCCTTAATTCCCTCCCCTGATTCGTTTCTCCTATTATTATCTGAAATGCTACATAGTATACTCACTTATATGTGTATTGTCTGTCTTCCTGCACCCAATAAAATGTAAATGTGGCAGGAATGTCAATCTTCCAACCACATATTCATGCTCTTCTTCTCTAATGAAGACGTTCTGCTGGGAAGTCATTACCCAGCCAGGAGCTACATTTGCAACTCTCTTATATATGGCTAAAGCCACATGATTGTATATTGACAAATGCAATATGGGTAAAAGTGATGTGTACAATGTCCAGGCTCCCATTCTCTCTTTTCTACTGTTTGACAACAGATGTCGATGACCAGGGTGACTTTGAAAGTCATAAATTGAAGACAGCAGAGTTTTCAATAAATTCAAGTGCTTAAATGAATACAATGAGCTGAACATTTCCCCTTACCCTTGTTGCTTATTAACTTGACAGGAAAAAAAATTAATTTCTCTTGTGCTTGCTCACTGAGATTTCTGGGTTTATCTATTATAGCCTTTAGTATTACATTCACTAATACAATA